TCGGCTGTTGAGGTGATAGCAGCTATTAAATCAAGCAAGTCTATGGAGTGGTCAACCTCGAGTTGAAAAACTTGAGTGTTGACTTCTTCGAGCACCTTACAAGGGTCTCCAATAAGTGTTTGGAGCTTGGCTACTTCCCTGCATGCTGGAAGTTAGCCAAAGTCATTCCAATTCACAATCCTGGCAAAGACCCTATCAGTGCCAAAAGGTATCGCCCCATCAGCCTCTTGTCATCCATCTCGAAGCTATTCGAAAAGTTGATACTCAGCCGTCTGCTGGTTTTTTTCAAATCATAATAACATCTTTCTCAAAGAGCAATTCGGATTTAGGAAAGGCCACTATCCACCAACTCGCACGGGTTACTAACGTCATCAAGCGGAACAAGTCCGTTTCCAATACATCTGCCATGGCATTGTTGAACGTTTAGAAGCCGTTCGACAATGTCTGGTATGATGACCTAGTGTACAAGATGCATCGATACAACTACCCGATCTTCCTTGTTAAGATCATCAAAGACTACTTTGCGGGCAGATCATTCCAGGTCTTCTTGAACAATTCTCCTTCTGATACGTTCAACGTTGATGCTGGGGTTCCCCAGGGTAGCCTCCTTGGTTCTATCCTATTCAACATCTTCACGTCAAATGTTCCTTCCCTTCCGGGTGGGTGGTATTTTGTCAATTGGGTCGAACGATCCGTGCTCTGACGAGAAAACTTTAATCAGGCCTTGATGTTCTGTCCGACTATCTCAAAAGCTGGAAGATTTGTATCAATGCAGCTAAAACACAGACCTTAATATTTCCGCAGCTCCAATTCACCTCGGCTTGTCCCGCTTGGTAACTTGAAAGTCCCCCTTAATAATACTCCCATTGAAGTCGTCTACCTTGATAACAACTTGCTGTCCCGTGCCCATGTGGACAAAACATCCACCAAGTGCAACATCTTCATTAGGTCGCTCTACCCACTTATCAACAGAAAGTCCACGCTTTACCTTAAAAAACAAGCATGAGTACGGAACGCAAATCTGGGAGAGCTGTGCTAAGTGCCATCACCTTAAACTTCAAAGGATCCAGAATAAGATCCTTAGGATGGTCCTCCACCGCCTGGCTGGTCTCGAAAGGTTTAGAGACGCCTGTCAAAGATCAAATCACCAGATCATACGCGATCTTGTGAATTGGGTTAAGTTATTAGTAGTTAGGTAGGATATCAAATTCTTTTTTTTTAATTCAAACAAAACGCAACTCAAAGAGGTATCCTGTAAACTATTTGAAAAACGTAAACACGTAAATTAGAATAACAAATCAAACAAAGATGAAGAGCCGTTCAGGTTAATTAATTAGAATGTACGGACAATGTAAAATCATAATCAATGTAAAATAAACGTAATTTTACTACAAGAATAAATCGAATGTTTTCGTCAGTCTTCAATCGCCTGTCGATCTCTGAAGATCCGAACTCCTTTAAAGCTAGTGCTTTCATCAAGTTGAAACTTAGATTCACCGAAATGACTAGATCTACGATTTAGAGAGAAAATCAGTCCTCGATCTTAATCACAAGTTTAAACTTGATGCTAAAGGCACTCCTTTTTATCCTATTAAGATGCTAAACCGCGCTATTGTAAATGGCTCTCGATTTAGAGCAATCCAACTAAAATGCTTAAAACTAATTTCACTCTCTTGAAGGTAACTCATTCTTTGAAACACGAGCACTATTAAACAATCTTACTGAAATACTCGTAAGTTTGGCCATTCGGTCTAATGACATTCAACCTAATGAGCCAGCATCACGGGGAATATAATTAATAATAATCAAATAGATTCAAATATCTCAATCTACAATCAAGCCTAGGGGCAACCCTAATAAAAATTGTATGGTTAATTTGCTTAACGACGTGTTCTGGGTATCATCCAAACCATTTGTGGAATAGTTCAATGATTTGGGTTATCGTTCGTTTATGGTTATTTTTTATTAGGGAAGACATAAGCAATTTCTGAGTTGCTTTTGATGCACCTCGAGTAACTCACATTCCTCAGTAAGAAAGATCACTGTCATTTGCTTTCCCACTTTTCGCATCACAGTAACATATGAAGGAGCACCTTCATGCGAAGCCGAAAATCTGCTGTCAATCAAAACAAAAATAAAAAAACATTTTTACAGAACTCAATAACTCAGCGAAACTCGGAGACACTTGAATTGATTGATTTGATTATCCCGCATCATATCTGCTTAATAACCTTCGTTCAACCCTTACCAACTGTGAACGTGAAAGGAACCTATTGCCCGCATAAACAATAACCATAAGATGCGCCTAACCGCCAATTCGGGATATCATCCCAATTTTATGTGGTATGGTCGCACCATCTAAGATATCATCAGTATATGGTACACGTTTATTAGGGTGCTCCCTAGCTGTATTACACTTCCGGAGAACTTTGAGTTTTGGGCGTAATTGATGTTGTACACAAACACGTCAATCGCCGATTTCTCGCGAATTGAAGCTCAATCTAAAAAAATTAACAGCACAAACAGGTAGAGGAATGATTCGTCTATCATTTGGAATAGTTTGTTTACGAGAAATCGTCAATTGACTTGTTTGTTTACAAAAGCAATTACACCCAAATCACAAAGTTCCCCGAACTTACCAAGGGCGAATGCTTGTCCGGCTTGATATGGTGGAAAAACTCGATCTGCCTGACCAAATATTCAAAATCCGGCAAATTACGTACCCCGCATGTACTACAATACTCGTCGAAGCAATCCCGTTCCCATGGCTTGGCAAATTGCCGCTGGATGAAACTGCGAACCGAGCTCTGAATTACCACTGTGCCGTTCTACTGTCGGTGGACATCCATGCTTCCTCTTATGCTTCTGTTGTGCCTTCCGGATGATCGTGATACGATCCCGTTTCTGCGATACACCACCGTGATTTTGCTGCCGCCGTCGATGGCAGTCTCCTTTAAGCTGGGCTTAGACTAGGCAAGTCAAATGATCAACTCAGTTGAATTCAACTGGCTTGAACAGTTGAGCCTAGTTCAACTTTTTTTCAATTCAAATGAGTTGATCAAGTCAGTTGAATGACATGGTTTACACGTTCAATTCGCATTCAAGTCAGTTGAATTCAACTGACTTGATCAATTGACTTGCCCTGTCTAAACCCAGCTTTAAAATAGAACATCACTGCATAAGTGTGTTGGTGTGTTCTTCGGTTTTTCGTTGGGTAAGTCCATAGCAACCCAGGTGTAGAATTTGTTGTTCGTCTCCATCTATTTTATGAACAGCGCAGACGATATCGAGTGATTGGTAGCGATCTTGTGAACTTGATCACGTTTCATGACGATCCTGTACTTACTGTCTTAACATGGCCGTGGAAATGCAAAGAGAAAGTCGACGAAGATAATCTGTCAGCTTAATTTATTCTTCGTCTTCCTGACCGGTTTTCACTTCGATTTCGTCCGGTTGATCGTTGATGGGTTTGAAGTCCGAACGAAGATCACACTCACCGGAAACATTGGTAATGGTTACTTCAACGTCCTTCTCCTCTTCGGCTTCGGAAATGACGGCGGCTGCTCTGGCTGAACATTCCCACCGGGGAGATGTTTTCTTAATCGGAAACTGTAGCGGCGGATTTTATTGGAGGGGCCACAGTTGGAATATTCCTCACCACGCTATGTTTGATGTGCTGTGATGGAATCTCCACGCTGTAGCTAACTTGCATGGTGCTAACGAGAAGGAGATCGGAGTTAGTTATTACCATTTTCAATGGGACTGCTGTTACGACTACTGGATCAATCGATGCTGATAGGATCGTTGCATTATAGGTGAAATTCCAGATGTTTAGAAGAATAGCTGTTTGGAGAGCTTGTTTCATCAGCGATGATCCTTTTGAAGTGACAACTGGGACTGGCTGCTGAGGAGGAAGAACAACTGCTGAAAGCTAGCTGGAACTGCAGTTGTTCACAAGCTTCAGTTGTCTGCGGTGCCAAGTGCGCAAAACAGTCAGGTTTAATGAATCATTTTCATATGAATATGAACTGCCATCTGCCTCATCATTCACTGCTTCGTGAGAGTCTGAATAATTGAGAGGTAAACGAGTCACTGACAGCCGAACACTCAGTCAGTAAGTAGCTCAATCAGCACGTTTATTCTTCCGTGATGGTACCCAATACTTGTTTTCAATGACTGAGCGTACATTTTCTATAGAACAAATTCTCAATTGCATGCTCTGTGAGCGAAAGCATGCGGTGTAATTCGCCTGTTCATGAGTGACTGAATGCTTTTGTTGGCTATTTCATTGCCGGTCTGGACAGAGCAATGAATTGAATAGTGCAGTGCTTTCACACTCAGTCTAAGCAGTCAATAATTTTACGCACTGGCGGTGGAATTGATTTTCCTCAACCCCTGAATAGATAGTGCGAATCTATATATTTGATGTTTTGCTGTTGTACTTGTTGTGGACATTAGCACATCCTTGTCCTTAAACTTGTTGAGGACCCCTTGTCTTGCCTCAAAAGTTATCCTTTTTAAAGTACTGATCTTCACAACATAAAGGACACCATTACGGTGCATTAGATTTGATCTAATTATACCCAGTTCTATTTGTCCAACGCTTCCAGCTGGGTGAGGGATAGAGGATGACACACACCTCGATAATTTTTAATTTTTCCATGCCCGGATATACATTTTTTTTTAATCGATTTTTAAATATTTTAAGCAATTTTTCAATAACCCAGGATATCAAAAATCGCGCGACAATGATTTCACAAAATTAGGTTGAACTTTCATAAATCCATGTTGAAAAAGGGCGTGGTGCATCAGAGTAGAGTTAAGACAACAACATTCTCATAGTAGAATCTAGCGAATTTGATAATTCTTTGGTATAAGATTGATTTTGCCCTTGGATCGGCTTCAGAGGAAGGTCATCGCAAGAACAGTCTCTCCACATTCCATTCCATACAATTTATAATTGAAAAAAAAATAAAATATAAAACAAAAATCACCTACATACCTTACTCGTACTCGCACAGATGGCCACACTTGGGACACTTTGGATTATTCGCAAACCAGTGCTTCAGGTGCTGCAGGTGTCCCCCGTGGGAACAACCCTGGCACCAGGCGTACAAGCCTCGAACCACTCCGTTGCAAACGCTACACTTGGAACTCTGCACCGAGCGGCACTTGGCACAGTACCATCCAACGGCAGTCAGCAGCGGCCTTCCGCAATCGCCACAGTTCGTGTGCATGGTAGTTGATTGTTGATTCATTTCCGAAACCGACCGGATCCAACTCAGGTTGATGATCTGCGTAGCTTCGTTCCACAGCTGATGGCGATGCAATAGTTCAACATAGGACAGAAGCCAATTTTCGTGGATGCATTCATCAATCTGAAGACTGTGCCGACGGTCGCCGAGGGCAATCAAGATGCAGGTAGATGTTTGGACGTCTCCAATTTCCGTCTGCAGGGTCAGGCAATCGGCTAGTACCTGGTGCGGTTCCCAAAGGGGTGGATTGATTGGATTACTGTCGGATATTTTGAGGAAAGAGGGCAAATTCGGAGGCGGAGAGCTTTCCTGCGTGCTATCCGCACGAAGTTCCTTCCTCGGACGGGCTTGGTGAAGGTCATGAGCGTTCATCAGATTCGACGACGGGAAAGTGTAATCCTTGATGAGGTCATGCGGTCCCGTGTACAGGAAACCATCCCGGAAGCCTTTGATGCAGTTTACGTTATCAAAAGTGAGCTCCGTTTCTCCGAACACGAAATCGCAACAGTTGGGTTCAATGTCAACCGATAGTAGTTGACCTTTGCCGGAAAGAAGCGTGGTTAAATCGCTTTTGGGATTTAAAAATTCCAGGAAATCATCGGCGTTACTCGCGACCGGACCTGTACTGCCAAGGTTAGGATTGCTTCCCAATTTGTCATCGCCAGCCCTTCCTGAGCTCGATTGGTTTGAATTTTGTGCCATGAGACGATTGGAGTGACTTTGACTTGCGTTCGAGTTACGCTGCTCTAGCTTTAGATTTGCAATCGAGGTGTATGCGTACAGCTGACTGATGAAGTTCCACAGGAAACTAACATTCGTTTTGCCATATTTCTTCGCTACTGACGCATTGTGTGCGCAAATTTCAGCAAGCGAGGCTCCTGTTAGGATGTACTCCCTCGCGCAACCCTTGAGAGCATGATAGTCTTTCAACAAAGAGGTTTTGGTGACATCTTTGGAACTAGGAGAATGCACCTTCGTTAGGAAGTGGTACAAGCTGGACTTTGCCAGATGGAACTGATCCGTCGAGGGAGGGGTCTTCTGTCTGCTACCCAGGAGACTTGTTTTCTGTACAGGAGGTGGCGTCGGAGGACCAACCAACTTCATTTTGTACGCATACAGCAGGTCTCCTTTGAAGTTGAAACTAGCTCCCTGTGGGTTCGCCTTTATCGCCGGACGTGAGGCATCCTTGAACACGTGCTTGAATATGGTGGAGTCTTTGCTGGTGGAGAGAAGAATGTGCGAATCGTTCCCTTTGAAAGCGATACCGGTGGTGACGTTTGAATGCTCATTGAACGAGGCGTACGGGATGAACGGTCGCCGGACGTCCCAAATGTAGATGCTGTAGTCTACCACAAGGGCGCAGCTGGCGATGTGGTACATCTTGTCCGGGCGCCAGCGCACCCGACCAACAACGGCGATCGTGTGGATGCTGTACTCTAGCGAGACGTTCTTTGGATTCTCCAGCGAGGAATTTTTCGGATTGGTGTTCCAAATCTACAGAAAAGAAATACGAAAATTAGAATCGGTGTTTGAGAATTTGGACAATATGGGAGCCATACCTTAATTTGCTTATCTCTGCTTCCGGTGGCCAACCATTGCTGTTGAGGATGCCAGTCGCACGTGTAGATTGGTCCACTGTGCGCCGTAAACTGCGACGTACAGCGATCGTTTTTGCGAATATCCCACAGTTGAACTGTTCAAAGAAATCTTCTTAGTAAAAAATAACTAGGTGCAATTTTGCGACGCAACTTACCAGTTCCGTTCTCTGATACAGCGGCGAACGTATTGGGAGCATGTGGACTGAACTTCACATCCCGGACGCTTTCCGAATTGCTGAAGTATGTATTGATTGCCGTCTTATCAACTCGCAAATCAAAGCATTTTATGGTGCCGTCCTGGGAGCCGGAAATCAGGTAATTCGATTCCGTCCCGTGGAATGCCACCGAGTGAGCCGTCCGCTCGTGTTCATTATACACCAGCAACTGTTTCTGGCGACCAAATTTCGACAAATCCCACACCGACACAACACCGTTGGTGGCTGCCGTGGCCAGGATGTTCGAGTCCAGAGAGCTCCACGCAACATCATTCGACGAGTAGCTGAGGTTCTGGTTCTTCCCGCCACGCATATTGCAAACCTCCGTGAAGCCATCGTTTTCGATGGAAAACACTTTCAGCAGGCTTCGGCCCGCCACGGCAATCTGCGTGCTCTCCCGGTTCAAAGCGAGCGCATTCGCGTGTCCATCCTGGCAGATCCGAATCGAACACGTCCGTTCGTCGTTCATGGTTCCAGATTTGGACGAAATTTCACTGATTAAACAACACTTATTTGCCTCAAAACTTGATGAAATAAACCGCCGATTGCCATATATGCGTATTGTTGTTGTTGTTGCGATTTTTTATCAACAGCTGATTGCGTGACACTTTTTCCACGAGCTGCACCCACTGAAAACTTGATGGGTAGGCTTTGATGTTTGAATCAAGTAATGCCAAAGGTGAGTAATTAATAGATTAAGTTTACCCAGATTGAGCGTACCTTTTGCTATTTTGAGTCGAATTCGACTCAATGTTGAGTTACTTCCATTGGTAAGCTCGAAAAAGAGAAGATACCAATTCGATATCTATACCTGTCAAAGCGCGCGCAAGTTATTTGTTTGGTTTTTATTTACCCCATTAATTCGTGGTTATTCCCGATTTCAATCGTTTAAAATCCTGCGGAGCGCAAACATCATGACCACAATAGACCTGGAAGATCCTGATTTGGTGCTGGCCCGCCAACTCCAGGACCAATTCGACCGTGAGGCAGTGGAGATTAGTTCCGGCGAAGAAGAAGCAGCAAACCGATCCGACCACCTATTGGCCGTGGAATTACAACAGCGCTACAACGATGAAGCCTTCGAGGTATCAGATGATGACGGCGATGATGTCATTCTCGCGGCAGAAATTCCGCCGATAGCGTCCGGTAGTGGAACGGCACGATCTCCGAAACGCAGTTTTTCGGTGGCTCTGGAAGAGGAAGTAAATGGCGATGAGAATTCCGGGCCGGAAGTGAAAATAATCCGAGCGAAACGGGAGGATTTGAATACGGATGAGTACTTTATCGAAGATCTACAGACGTACGTTGACCCTGAGAATAATTTCGATTGGAAGTTTGTCGAGGTGATGCCGAACATTAAAAGAATTTTTGCCCGATTGGACGAATTATTTTTCCAATCGCGTTTCAAACCAAAAGGCTTTAATGTGATTTGGAGTCATTCGATTGGCCAGCATTGTACCAACAGGAACTTTAATGATGTTGACGGCCGGTATACGATTGCTCTAAATGAGTCTCTTCTTACATTGAGACCAAGGATCGAAATTATCAGCGTTTTGCTCGTAAGATGAACGGTACTTTCAAGACAGTAAGGTTTATCTAAACATTCCTTCTTTTTAGCATGAAATGATTCACGCATACCTCAAACTGGAAAACGTCCAGGAAACGAACAGTGGTCATGGTGCAAACTTCCGGAAGATGATGATCTTCCTCAATCAGATGATGCAGACAACTATTTCCTTCAGTCATCGTTTAACCAATATCAACACACTATGCAGGACGCAATGGTATCGCTGTACCGGTATCTGCCACAACTATAACCCATTTCAAGGCATTGTTCGCTCTACAGAAGGAGATCCTGGTCTTCAAAATGAATGGTGGCGAGCTCATGCGGAAACCTGCGGTGGTACGTTCTACAAAATATACGAAATGAGTCGAATCGTCGATGGCGAGGTATCCACTCGGTATGCAGTAAACGTCAAGTATATGAAGCCCAAACGGGAGAACATTAGAGGTCGATTCAAGACTCGCCTGCCGCCAAAGGAGTCCATCGACTTGACTAGTGACCAACCGCTGGTGATTCCAACAGTAACCGAAACGGTTTCGCTAGACGATGAGGGGTCAAGCATCGAGGATACCAAGGCTGCGGACAAATTCATTCAGTGCTTCAACCGCTCGGTAGCCCTAACGCGAGACACATACGACATGCAGTGCCCGATCTGTCAGGAAAAGATCAAACGGAAACTGTTTGGCGATCACATCGACGGCTGCAAGGGCATCATTGAACATATCAACTGGAAACGTCCCGGAGCAAGAATGGTTCAGGATGGCATACTAGAGCATCGTACAGGTTTGCACATGCCTTACCATCCTCCAAGTAGCGATGCAAGGCCTCTCGGAACATCATCTACCATCGGCGACTATCAGCGAATCAAGAGGCAGCGCTTTCTTTAGATACTCGATGTCGATAGAGGGATCTGGTGTGGTTTTTAGTGATCTAAATTGTTCCTGAAGAACTTATTCTTTTATTATATCGTAATGCTATGACTACCTTAATTGAAATATAATTTTGTACTATGTACTACGTTACTATGCATCATAGACAGAAAGAAACATTCCTATCAGATTAAATCCTCATCAAAACATAGCTACCAATACTACCATATATAGTACCGCTACACGTGGGCAGCGTGCCTAAACATCTGATCAGCTGATTTATGCCGGCCGCCAGCAGCATAATGCTCATTCGTAAAAAAATATAAACAAAAACAGCGTCCGACGCACGACAGACATCCAGCGAAAAAAGTACGGCCTTCCCACTTTGATCGACAAAGATGCAAATTTTGTCGACGAAAGTGTCCACTGACAAATTGAAATCGATGCCGGTTTTTTCAAAACAAACCCTTCGGAAATGGATCCACACTGAAACAAATGTCTGTAGTGGGACACACGCAAATGATGTACCACGGTATGCAATTAAAGGCTGCACCAAGTGTGCTCGGGTTGAATTGTGCAGAACAAAAACAGTTGGTGAATATTAGCATTGAAACTGTTTGTACAGAGGTCATTTCATTGATCGTGTAATCATTAGACCCCTACGCTAGTAATATTTACGCACTGGTAATTAATCTTAGGTATTGAACTTCTTTATTTTTTTTAAAGCTCGAATTCATTAGTGCAGCTTGCCAACACGTTTCTTAAGCTGCTGTTGTTTTCAAATAAGTCGATTTTGCAATGTTGTGGCCTCTGGGGAAAAAAATACTGAACAATAATTTTTTGCAAAAACTTCTCGCATATGAAGAAAATCGATAGAGGTGTCACTCAGTCTATTAATTACACTAGACAAAAATTAATTATTTTATTCATGTGTTACATTTATGCATATTTGCCAAAACTTCAGTCTTATACATTCCATTAGGTCTTATAAGAAGGCATAAATAGGGATGTGTGCCTATTTAAACATTTCATTTGACACATGATCTTCATAAACTTTTTTTTAAAAGGCATCTGCTTATTAGTTGCCTTATACATTTTATGAATAATCAGCAATATAAATTTGCCAAAGGGTATAAGGGGTTTTATATCCGTGTAAATCCGAAAAAAAAATTTAAATAAAACAACGAAATTACAATGATTTTCTCTGTTGAATTTCGACTACCCTAATAAACGGACACCATACACTAACGATATCATAGATGGTACGACCATACCTCATAAAGTTGGGATGATATCCCGAATTGGTGGTTAGGCGCTTCTTATGGTTATTGTTTCTGCGGGTATATATTAAAATTTATTGTGAAGTTGATATACGGGAGAAAAAAACATCAATTTTTAACGATACAATGCTCAAACAATGAAAATTAATGTGATGAGATCAAAATTGTTCGAGAAAAATCAGCTTTTTTAGTGTTAAGATGCTTAACAACAACCCTTTTTTACTGTAAATTTCTCAAATACCATGATTTGCATTGTTGTGAACCATGAATTTCGTTGTGGTTTTATGGTAGTCGACAAAAATGTCAAATGTTTTGACAATAATATTATGGTTACAATGACAATACTCGCCATTGTTTTTTTATGGGTATATACTCCTAGACTGAGTAAAATTTTCATGAATGTTCTTCATATTCTCCATATTCTCCATATTCGTGTTCATATTTTTCCTATTTAAGTGAAAAATGTTATGAAACACAGTTGTAGCTCGCTTACAAGATTTTGAATGCCAGATGTGCCATATTTTTACGATCGTTACGTAATCGCAGGTTGATCCCCGGGCACACTTTTCGATTAATCATCACTGAAAAGTGCGACTCATTTCATGTGAGTGCAGATTTTTTCACAAAGGAAAACCAAGATGGCTGCACATTCAGGAGGAGTAGATTGGGCTGCGATTTTAAAGCCCTTTTTAAGCAGTTCAAGTGAAAATATCGGTAAAAATGATACGCTCAATTTGGTGAAGACGATCATCCAAAGGTGGGTAGCTAGTTAGTTTCTGGTGGAGTGTGTTTTCCGTCGAATTATGGCACTTTGAAAATTGGGACTCGAAACTTTCCACAATGGCTGCCATCATGTCCCCATTACATAGCGCCGTGTACTATTTTTGCAATGCAATCATGCGGATATTGATTTGTTTTTCTTGTGACGTTTTATAGTGAAAATGAAATTCTGGATCACGATGCCGGCCACAAGCAGTTCTTCGACAGCTTTGTCGTGCTGGCAGCTGAAAATCTCACCAACCAGGTCACGTCACGTAAGTATTTTTTTTTTCTTTTCCCGACCTTCATATTTTTATCGATTTTTGTGCCGCTATTAGCTATTTTTGTTTGTTGTGTAACAAAATTTAATTTCTCATTTTTCCTAATTGCAGTATCTCAAACACAACTGCCTCAAATTGTGGAGGCAGCAGCCGTTCTTATTCGATACATCCTACAACACCTGGACACGCAGGCACCGAATAAACCCAGCATTCTGCTGATGGCGCTGAAGGTGCTCTGTGAAGGACGCAAGGATTCCGAACATCCGACGAGCGGCACATCCGCTTCGTCGATCATTCCCGCATCCGGGATGAAGTATCTCAAGTATCCGGAAATGCACGGCAAATCGCCCTCAGTAGGCAGCGTTGGCAGTCCTTCCGGTGTGGTTGTCAGTTCCGGAGGAAGTAGCTCGGAGAAGGAAAGCCCCAAAAGCGAAATGAAGCGATCGCGGTCGGATTTGTCCACCGTAATTTTGCAACAACTTACGACACCGCTTGGTGCCGGCGTGTTTACATTTGCGACACTCAGCGAAGAGCAGATCGATTGTACTGTGAGTACTTGTACTATGTTACTACATCACCGAATCCGTTTTTTTCATGCGACGTTTTTAATTTTTAGGATCTCTTCATAAAATCTAATATTCAATGTTTACAAGCTGCCAACGGAGGCGATTTACTATTCAAATGGTGCACCAATTCGCTAACGACACTGGCAAAGTACCGTGCCAAGTATGAGGAATGTACCGTGCAAGGAAAACCATTGTATCTACCAATTACGACTGTGGAGGCAGGTGCCGTCAAGGCAAACCTCTCCCAAATCGAATCAGACATCTCTAACCTTTTGCTCGCGGGTTCGCTTCCACTTGTCGAATCGCTGACGCCGACAAAGATTACACTTCTGTCACAATGCGCCATGTCCGCTCTTTACTGTGCAGTACTGACTTCGACGGCCAACAGCGTACTAGCCATGGCCGCCAGTGGATCACAGAAAAGTGCTTCATCCACCCAGCTCCAGCAGAAGGAGCAACAGTCATCCAGCGCCCAGAAGGAAAGTGACGAGGAGGAAGACTACGCCCGAATGATAGTAGATCGGGCGCTTGAAATATTCACTAAAATTGGAAGCATTTTAAAAAGTTCCACTCGAACTCACATCTATCAGAACCACGTCTGTATGGGAGCCTGGCTATTGATATCCGCAATACAAGGAACGATGGGTGCATCCGGTAATCCCAGTGGAAGTACTATTCAGCAAACGGCTTCGGTCAAAACTTCCGAGGAAAGTATGAAAGGAAGAAGCCCATTGAAAACATTGGACGTTCCGCAGATGGCCTCCACGGCAGCTCCAACACCTGCTCTGAGAGTAAATCTATTCAAAGTTCAGCAAGGATTCGGGGTCCTCAATGCGGCGATTGCTCGTCATAGCATTACTCTGCTGACCGAGCTAATCGATGACCTCAAGATTGATTCCCGCTCGGATGATGAGGAGTATAGCAGCATCGAGTCGGCTGGTTTTGACATCCTCGGACAGTATTCATCTATCCAACGGGTTGTCCGGGTGCTTAACAGTGCCACGCTACAGCAGCTTATGACCTTCCTAGCGACCGTATCCTACAGAAAAGCATGCACGCTGCGTAGAATCAACACCAAGAACACAAATGAGGGCGAACCCATGAGCTACAGCGATTCGACAACATACTACAACGATACATTCTCCTGCTCGGAAGAAAGTGAACCGGAAGAGGAGGACAGCGATAGTTATCTAGGGCTTTGGTTCAAAGAAACACTTTCACCGGAAGCTAACGAGGAAATGACAGAGTCCCAAGAGCAGGATAAGAAAGACGAGAAACGTCACGGAAGCAACCTGGTCCCGGCCAAGGACGAACCGCACGAATATCTTAATTTGAGCTCGTTGATTTTCAACTTTTTTGATGCATCCCTTGGAGGACAACACGTCTATCTGAATCGTTACGTTAGAACCGGCCTCAGCGAGCAACAGATGGTTCTCCTCGCCAACATCCTTCGTGATTTGGATCGTGATTCAGCGCGTGGCGAACCGGAAAATTCCGGATGTCTTCAGTGGCAAAATTCTATGGTCAAATTCTCCGGATCCGTGGGGCGCTATCTGCACAATTTGATTTCCAATACTCTGCTGAATGAGTCACTGCAATCGGCATTGCTGCTGCACCTAGGAGTTTCTCCGTGGACACAAGATTCCAACATATGGCCCCTCCAAGTGTACTCCAGAACACTGGCCGTACTCGTGCAGATTCTACTGTTGAAACCTTCACAGGAAAAAGAAGCCGCTTGTCTGTCAGTTTGGCACCGTTTGGTCAACACTCTTGTGGAAGGCGTCTGCTCGAATCAAACGATCCCGAACGAGTCGGAAATAGAGGATCTCAACGTTGAGCACGCTCAACTCCTGCTATTCCTGTTCCATTCGCTCAACCTAATGCAGAAGAAATCGATCCTGCTCCTGACGGCCGGCGGTGTCATCCGGTGCTCCGAGGTATGCCGCACGGTTACTCCGGAAAAGCCGCTACGTGACCATCAAATCATGCTCCTATCCAGATTGCTACTATTTCTGGAATACCTCATGAAGCACCTGTACAACCCTCCAAACGTTTTGCTGGAGCAGGTCCGTTGGAATCTATTCAGCGTGTTCACACTGGACTCCGAACAGAAGATTGCTGATCTTATCAACTACAAAACCAAAATGATGTCGTTCTGTCGCAAGGATATCGAAGACAAACATCGGAAGCTGGTAAACGAATATAGCGTTGGAGGTGTCAAACCGAAGTTCTACTCGTTGACCACAGTCGATACCAAGATTCAGCAGGAGTTCAAACTAGATGGTCTGGCATGGAATTTTATCCTGTGCACACCGGACAAGCTCAAGTATCCATGGCTAATCGATGCACTTATCGACATTCTTAGTATCACGGACATGTGCTTGGCGAAGATCCCCTTCCAAACGCTCTGCGCGGTTCACTACTGCTTCAGTCTATGCTGGAAGCTATTGCTCGGACTGCCACCCTCAACGCAACACGTAGAAGCACTTATGCAGGAAAAGGTACCCAATTTGCATTCGCTGCTGTGGTCGATCCGCTGTCTGCATCCGATCACCCACTCGCACTATTTGATTGTGAACAGTTTGGTCAAGCAGGTAAGTCTTATGCAAAATATCCTATTCCTATAAATATATATTAAACCTCATATTTTCAGGGCATGTACACACAATCGGCAGAAGCACTGTGGAACCGCCTAACGGATCACGTATCGGACGTGAAATATAGCTTGAAGCTGACGGTGATGGGACTGGACTCTTTTGTCAGTTCATTTGCTCCAGATCAGCCTCGATTGTCCAAAATCATCCTTTTGGACGGGTTAGTGTCCCATATATATGCCATTTGTTGGGCTGAAAAGGAAGGTGTCAACATAAAAACCAAATCGACCACCAACAGCAGCAGTTCGTCAAGTAGCAGCACCAGCAGCAGCAGCTCAACTAGCAGCAACAGCAGTTCAACTTCGACTAGCTCCAACGCTAGTGACTCTAGCGTGACCAGCGGCGGACAGCAACAACTCACCGTCAACACAGGAACTCCTGCTACTGCCGATGCATCAACCACCACCGGTCCAGGCTTGGAAACGGTCAAGATGGCATCGCGAAATGATCTTACTCGTAATCTGATGTCCAAGCTGATGGAAGTACTGGAGATTGTGAAGGAGGCGACCTATAAAACCATGTTCCAAAATTTGAGCGGGCAGATTCCATCCTCACTAATCGAGCCGCTGATCGCAATCTGTGGTTCAAAGAACACTTTTTGTCAGGACTTGTCGACCCAGCTGGTCGCATTGATCACCGGCCAAGATAAGGACGTAATCTCGGTAGAATGGCGCAAGAACCTGTCCATAGCAAGCGAGGATAACTTTACCAGCGGATCGTTCCCGGTAGAAGTGCACACTTTGACCGTAATAGATGGTCACCTGACGGAAACATCAAAGCACTTGACCTACTCGATTCTGTTGTCTCTGAAGCACGCACTCAAATCGTGCATCAATCTCATCTACTACATGCTACCGAACTATGACGACAAGCAACTCGATGACGAACTGAAGGAAATACTGATTCCGATGATTTTCGATCTTCGAGCAGAATACCTGTACGATGTGGTTAACAAGTGCCTGGAATCACTTCTGGGTGGTGACTCAAACTCGGAAACCTACCAACTGTTGGCGTACTCGAACATTCTTCGCCACAGTTATCAGTTCCTGATCGAATATTCCGAACTATCTGCCCAAGGACAAACGGTAAACATAGACGAAACTGTCCTTCACAACATTATCAAATTCTGGGAATCCATGCTGGACAAAACCATCGGACTGAAAGCTATGCGTGAATTCTTCTACGAAAGCAAGAAGGGTAATCTGGTTCAGATCCTACTTTCTTTCACCGGAACCAGCCTTTCGCAAAAGTATTCCACTAAAGTCCTCCAATTCTTTGAGAAGCTGTTCGCCGCTTCCGAAAAACTCGATGCCCAATTCGACGAAGAAGAAGTGTGCAACTGTATCAGCGAGTTGGTAAATGCCGATGCGGCAAAACTGAAGAGTTGGCTGAGCCACATTCTGCTCGGTCCTAGGGGAGCTAGTTTGACCGCCGGAGGTTCGAATGCATCGAGCAACGTCCCTACGCCTACTAACATGGCGACCGTCTCGGCAATTCCCAGCATTACAGATCAGTTGGCTGTTTCGGCCACTTCGGACAACAACACCGGCAACAATGCATCCGTAGGAGGCGATCCGGATGCGATGGACATCGATTACGAGTGTATGGCAATGCCATGGCAAAGGGAGAATAGTCGTACCGGAAATGATACCGTGGATGAAGCTTTGGAGAAAAATGGAAAACTACTGCAGGCGTTGGTGAAGTATATTGTAGCGGAGAACAGAATTGCTCCGTCAGTTTCGGAAGCCCTCTTCCAGGCGTTGATTCAGATTGGGCATAATCTGTTGTGCCCTGTTCAGGAAGCCATCGAATTTGCTGATCTGTTGCAAGTGATGATCACACTAGCTGATGCTGGGAAAGGCCGCGGTCATGCTATGCTGTTTACTGCGGCTATCGATTGGTTGGAGATTTCCAAGAACCAGGTCCTGGAAGGTAAAACGGGCAGGAGTGGATCGAAGGCTGCGGTTCAATTGGAAAATGTGACTGCAATTTTGAAGTACATGAGCGACTTGTTACTCGGTTTGGGAGCGAACGGAAGCCGTTCGATTAATCCTCCGTGGGACGAAGAGTCGCCACTGGACGCTGAAGACATTCTAGATGATTTGGGAGGTGATGATGATGATAGTGCAGTAGAAGATTCCGACGAAGATAGCCTCAGCAATAAGCTGTGCACATTCTCGATCACCCAGAAAGACTTCATGAACCAACATTGGTACTATTGTCATACATGCAAGATGGTCGACGGCGTTGGAGTATGTTCGGTTTGTGCCCGAGTATGCCATAAGAACCACGATATCAGTTATGCCAAGTATGGAAACTTCTTCTGTGACTGTGGTGCAAAGGAAGACGGATCTTGTCAAGCACTGTCACGCCGCAGCAATTCTGGACACGGTGAAGATTCGATCTTGGGATCCGCTTTGCCAAGATCGTCCGAAGCAGATTCGGTGTTGTTGACGAGCTCCCTGAGACGTAGAGCTTCCAGTCCCACTAGTCAACTGAATCAATCCGGAAACAGTCAAATGTCGGAAAAGGAACAACTGCTTGCAAAGATTATTGAAAGCTCCAAGGAAGCCTTGAGTAGCCCGGATCAATGGAAGGTCGTTGTACGTTGCATTTTGACTTTCTTCAACTCTCTGATGCCCAGTATTAAAGATCACTGCGCCAAATATTCTACGGTAGGCTGCCATCTCCGTGCCCGCAACGCACTGGAACGTCTACATCAACCAGAAAAATCCTACTCATTCAGTGATCAGATAATGGTCGCCACCCTGGGTTCACAGGAAGGAGCATTCGAGAATGTCCGTATGAACTTCTCCGGCGAACAAGGGCAAACCATAAAACAACTGTTGTCCTCGAATCTAGTTCGTCGCGTTGCACTTTGCTGTTTGGCCTCACCGCATGGCAAACGCCAACAACTGGCTGTTTCGCACGAGAAAGGCAAAGTAACCATCCTGCAACTATCCGCCCTGTTGAAGCAAGCGGATGCAGCCAAGAAAAAGCTGACCCTCACGAGACTAGCTTCAGCGCCGATTCCGTGCACCGTTCTGTCGCTAGCGTCCAATCCCGCCAATGAAGATTTCCTCGCAGTTTGCGGTTTAAAAGAATGTCATATCTTAACGTTTACCAGCACCGGAACTACCAACGAACACATTGTTCTGACACCGCAACTTGAAACCGGAAACTTTATCAAACGAGCCATTTGGCTACCCTGCTCGCAGACCAAACTGGCCCTGGTGACAGCAGATTTCGTCAAGATCTACGATCTAGCGGAGGATAGCTACAGCCCACAGTACTATTTCCTGGTCCCAAGTGGCAAAATTAGGGATTGTACCTTCGTCCATCAGGAAGACACCTACTACATGTTGATCATGTCGTCGCACGGGTATATCTACACCCAACCGCTTAGCGACGAGAGTCTTGCCAAACATGGTCCATTCTACGTCACCAGCACTTTAGAACTCGACCATCCCTCCATCACTGACGATAACGGTCAAATCCTGGCTGGAGGTGTATCGATCTACTATTCCCACGTACTGCAGATGCTCTTCTTCAGTTACGTAGCCGGACGCAACTTTATGGCTCCATTGGCCAACGTAAACCAAGGTGTCAAGTGTGTCATCAACCTTATTTGCAATCCTGCATCGAAGGTATTCTCCAAGTCCTTAACTCAGCCACTCTGCCAATGGACAGAAATTCCCGGACATCCGGGTCTCATTTGCGCCATGATGCAGAACCTTAACAATCCCGTCATATTCATGATCAAGCCGGACGGTTATGTTGCTCAGGAAATCAAAGCGCAGAATGCAAAGGCCAAGATCATGGACATGGTGGCCATTCGTCATTCGGTGTCCGGTGTGGAAAAGACAACGTTAATTCTGCTCTGCGAGGATGGTAGTCTGCGCATTTATGCAGCTCACCCGGAGAACACCGGCTACTGGTTGTCGCCGGAGATTCAACCAATCGGACACCAATTCCAGACGGGAGCCTGTTCAAAATCTCGCAAGTCGAAAAAATCCAGTAAGCAGAGTAGTGGCGGCCAAGTGACCGGTAAGAGTGGCAGCGGATCAGCCCCGACGTTCCCGATCGATTTCTTCGAACATTGCACCCTGATGAACGAGGTCGAGTATGGAGGAAACGACCTGTTGCAAATCTACAACACTCAACATCTGAAGCATCGGCTCAATTCGACCGGACTGTACGTTACATCGACGCGGGCCAATGGATTCACGCTCGACGTTATCAACAATGATCCTAATATGGTCATAACGGGTAAGATAAGAGTTCGGTTCTTTTTTTTACGGGGAAAGTGTTGTGAATGATAGAAAGTTTTAAAATTGCCTTCGCAAACCTGCTAGGTGGTGAGGTGATTCCCGCGAAAAGGATGTTATAAGTTTTGCTTACAAAAGCTGATACGCTCTTTTCAATTGTTGGTCGAGCAATGTCAAAGAAAAGACTGCACTGCACCAAAAAATCATCCTCTATGTGTATAAATCCTCGGACCATTCAAATCGAAATCGCTTTTGCGAATGATAACTGGAACCGGATGACGATTGTAGTCGGATGATATTCCTTTCGAATATATGAACCGCTTGCTGAAAGAATGATTGTTATCCCAAATTGAAATGGATATGGCAAATCATTGAAAATAATGATGCAAATAATTCAATCGTATACGTCATTTGCTGAAAAAAATAATTACAAAAAAGAAGGAAATCGAATGAAAAACCATTGCTACACGCAGAAAATTGGATTTTTGTTTCAGGGCCTAATGTATTTTGTTATTGATTCAAACATATTGTATCACTATTTCAACGAAACATATTTTTGAATCAACAAAATGGTTTTTAGAATCAACAAACAGATTATTGACTCTACAACCGGTTTGTAGATTCCAAAATATTTTTCTTTGAACTAACCGAATAATATATTTGAATCAATACCAAAAATATATTAGGCCCTGAGCCAAAAATATATCCATTTGAATTTGAAAATCATTTCTCTGTGTGTAGGGTAATGTAAATTTTTCTAATGATTGTTTCATGCTTCAATACTAATTATCTTTCTCTGGTGAAAACTACAGGGTGGTGTCTTTTACCTGTTTTGAGTTAGGGTAGGACGGGGTAAGATGAGCACCCCTTATGTTTTCTTCAAAAATCTTATTTTTCTAGAAAATGCCCATTGATGATTCAAAGCTTCAACGTTCCAAAAATATTATAGAAACATTCAGCAATTATCAAGAAATTAAAGCAAATGTGTACTCACTTTGTTATAAGAATCCACCATCTAAAAAAAAAAAATACTTTCGCCATTATACTAGAATTGTTTTTTGTTATTTTAACCTACCGGATCGATCAAAAACGATCCTTAAACATGTGTCTTATTACTATAAGTGGCAATTAAATTATTTAATAAGTCACACAATCACAGCAAAATATTCTCCCAATTTTCTTTTTTCGTCTTCCATCTAGTACAACTTTTTCAATACTGCACGTATCGAGACGAATTTTTTTTCGAAACATTCCAAAACTGACCACTAGAGGCACTGCTATAGAATAAATAAAGTGTCCGGATTCTAAGTGGACCAGACTTTAAACTGTTATTGTGTTTCATAAAATTCTGAGATCCATTTGTTGTTCCGCCCATTTTGCCTGGTACTAAAATAAAAAATCCCCAACACTGTAAAAATACACTAGATGTTCTCTAAAATATGTTTACTTTCACATAGCGGATCGACAGCATTCGCTAACTAAAATGCATTTAATGTGTCTAATCTGCTGTCAAATGCTTCTAAAATGCATCGTTCATCCTCGTGTTCGTCTGTTTCATCGTGAAATTTTGAAATGAATATTTTATGAAATGAAACATTTGACAGAAATTATAGCCTAGCGGCGCCGGTGGTGTAGTGGTAAGCGTGATTACCTCTCATCCCAGCAGGCCTGGGTTCAATCCCAGTCGGCGCCGCCGGGATGTTCTGAGGCATAACATCTCTGATCACGCCTTCCTTCGGAAGGGAAGTAAAGCCGTTGGTCCCCGGTTCATGAGTTGATGGGTCGATAGGTAGGGTCCAGGTGTGGGAGCTGCCATCCTGGCGTCGGTAGCATTGGTGCTCAGCACGGAAAACAAGATCGACGAAAAACAAACCAAGGAAAAAAAAAATTATAGCCAGAAGACCGTTTTCTGACCACCCGGTAGCAGAATCGATGTGGTGATGGCATATTTCCTGTATGCTCATGATCTCTAGGTCTACTTTCAGGAATTGGCCATTTTCCCGGTGAATCTGAATTTCCGCAGAGCAACTTTGCTTGCCAGGTTTTTTTTCCGTTCCGGCTGGCCAACCACAGGTCCAATCAGATTTCTTACTTACCTTACCAATCAGGCTAAGGCCTTGTTGTCCTCTGCTGTCCGAAGAAGTCGTCTTCACTCTACTCGATCCATGGCCACAGTTCGCCAGCCTCGTAGTCTGCGAAGGGTCACCTTCTACTTGGTCGATCCACCTTGCCCGCTGCGCGCCTCTTCTTCTTGTTCCTGTTGGATCGCTTACTAGAACCATTTTCACTGGTTCGTCGTGCGGCATTATTACGGCGTGTTCAGCCCACCGTAGTCGCCCAATTTTTGCAATGTGGACGATGGATGGTTCTCCCAGCAGCTGGTGCAATTCGTGGTTCATTCGCCTCCTCCAGGTTCCGTCATTCATCTGCAATCCACCGTAGATGGTACGAAACACCTTCCGTTCGAAAACACCAAGGGCGCGTTGGTCCTCCACGAGCATAGTCCAGGTCTCGTGGCCGTAGAGAACCACTGGACTAATCAGCGTCTTGTAGACAGTCAACTTCGTGCGGCGGCGAATTTTATTCGACCGGAGCGTCCTCCGGAGTCCAAAGTATGCACGATTCCCTGCCATAATGCGTCTTTGAATTTCTCTGCTGGTATCATTTTCGGCGGTCACCAGTGAGCCCAAATACACGAACTCATCGACCACCTCGATTTCGTCACCGTCAATCTGAACCCGGGGTAGGAGGCTAACATTGTCTTCCCTAGAACCTCTTCCTTTCATGTATTTTGTCTTTGATGCGTTGAACAAATAATGTGTGGGCATGTTGTATTCGCGGCATTTCTGCAGAACCTGCCGAATCGCGAAAATTTGGTCCGTGGTAGCGCGGGCACCAATGAATCCCGCCTGGTATTGCCCCACGAACTCTCTTGCAAATGGTGACAGGCGGCGGCATAGAATTTGGGAGAGTACCTTGTAGGCGGCGCTCAGCAGTGTGATCGCGCGGTGCAGCAATCCAACTTTGCCGGACTATTGCGCGAACTATTTAGCTTCTCATAGAACTTCCGTGTGTCGTTTACGCGGTACAGATTTTCCATCGCCTCGCGATCTCGGTCTTCCTGCTGACGCTTCTTCCTTCGGAAAACCGAGTTTTGTCTGTATCGCTCCACATTCAATCTCGTGCGGTGTTGCAGCATTCTCGCCCGTGCTACATTCTTCTCCTCTACTAACAGTTTGCATTCGCCGTCAAACCAGTCATTTCTTCGGTCCGGGATTGCAGTACCTAGTGCCGCTGCAGCAGTACTACCTATGGCGGAACGGATATGCCTCCAGCCATCTTCAAGAGAAGCTGCGTCAAGCTGCTCTTCCGTGCGTAGTGCAACTTCCAGCTGCTGCGCGTAGTTCTGAACAGCTCCGACGTCCCGTAGTTGCTCAATGTTGGGTCGCAGCGTTCGACTTCGACGGGTGTTATGCACCGTCGAGAGTTTTGAGCGCATGCATACTGCAACTAGGTAGTGGTCCGAATCTATGTTCGCACTGCGGTACGTGCGGACGTTGATAATGTCGGAGAAGAATTCCCCGTCGATTAGAACGTGATCGATTTGGTTTTCTGTGTGTTGGTCAGGTGATCTCCAGGTGGCTTTGTGGATATCCTTGCGGGGGAAAAAGGTACTTCGAACTACCATACCCCGAGAGGCTGCAAAGTTCACGCATCGTTGGCCGTTGTCGTTCGATACGGCATGCAGGCAGTTTGGCCTTATTGCCGGTCTATACATTGCCTCCCGTCCTACCTGAGCGTTCATGTCACCGATGACGATTTTGACGTCCCGTTGCGAACAGCCGTCGTACACCTGCTCCAGCTGGGCAGTGCACGTTGATGATGCTGTAGTTGAAGAAACGGCCCTTAATCCTCAACTTGCACATCCTCGCGTTGATCGGCTGCCAACCAATCACGCGTTGGCGCATATTACCCAGCACTACAAAGCCAGTTCCCGGACAATCGGATTGCTACCTGGTACCGAAAAATTGTCTCTTCTAGAAAAGATTGACAGTTTCTTATGGGATTTTTCGGTGGTGTGAAAGGATAGTACCATAGAGGTAACTCTAAGACTAGATGGTCCCGAAATAACGTACTCAACTTTTTGGCTCAGCTCTGGTACTATCTTCGGTCCCAAGCTAGTCGAATCACCCCTCGAAACATAGGAAAATCCAATAACCCCTCATTTTATCTGTCAAACTTTCATAGCGAATCATAACAAACATTGTGTAGTACTAGAATTTTGACTAGAATGGGGTACGTTAATCGATTTGCTTGGGACTAATAGGCTAGTCAAGTAGTGAGCCAATTTAGAATCGTTAGTTTCGTATTTTTTGTTGATAGTACGAAGTCCTTCATGTTTCACGCATAGTCTGACGCGAGGTCTGACGTTTGTTTATGGATTTTACCATAGAAGTAAAGAGCTACAGAGTCGCCGTGTACGCCAATACCATTCGAATGGTGGCTGAATCATAACTATGTATTGAATTGGATTGTCGAGAACCATCCATGTCAACCGTGAATCGACCGAATCGACACAGTTTGCAGCCTTGGTACTTTGGGGATGTTTTGATGGCTTGGGGTTCTGTCAGTTAACTGAATCTTCTTTCAGTTAGTGGAAGTTCAGTTAAAAGTCTTCCAGTTTGCGAACGTCTAGTGTACTTATCTTGGTATTATATCTGTATTGTTTTCTTCTTAACAATAAGTGAAGAGAAAGGCTCCTAGAATTCGATTGCTATTATTAAAGGACGCAAGTGAATCTCTTTCCATTCAATGATAGGAGGATGTTTTGGTTCAGTTATGCTTTGATGGCGCAATCAACTTTGTATTTTGACGCGAATGTGAGAAAGACACGAGTACCTCTTTGCGGCTAAAAAGTAATAACCTTATAGTCCATTAGAAAGTTTGAAGGAGCTCAGTCACGTGTTATCATTCAGCGACTAAATTCTCCGCACACCAAGCTACCGAATTAAACATGTTGCTAACATTTAATCTATTGCAGGTATCCGCATTTCGATCGGCTCACAAGACATCAGCAAGGCTCCACAAAACGTCACTATCCTCGGTCGGGTCGTACCTACCGTGGCAACACGTGCACGCTGGTTCGATATTCCACTGACCCGGGAAGAGAGTCTTCAGAGTGACAAAAAGCTGAGCATTCTGTTTGGACCATCACAGGATGCCGAAAATATCACCATCCTAGACAGTATCAAGATCTATGGCAAAACGAAAGACGTCTTCGGTTGGCCGGAAGAGTCGGAAGACGGAGGATCTTCGCAGTTGAACTCAGCCACCCAGACCCCAGGTCAGATGGCTAGCTCTCTGAATGGTGCGGACAATGGAGACGGTAATGGAGGTTCGGGAATGATGATCACCCCACTGGATAAAATGGTCTCCACAATGCTACAAGTGCTGGACAGTGGATTGTCCCTGCTGGGTGGACCAAACAGTGAAGATAACTGCAAACAGACTGCGGTCGATGTGTCCACCTCGTTGGTTCTCTTTCCAACGTCCAACATGGTTCAACTGGACGCTCGCAACGTGCTAGTCACTTGCCACCCAAGCAAGACAGCTTATCATGCTTATAAGGATAAGGAGATTCTTGCCGATATCAACGCTCAGTTGAAAAAGATGGCCGATGCGAGAGACTACAAGTTTATTGATCCGGAAGCATTCTACCGAGTGGTTCTGATGACACGTGGCATCGCCATCCAGCGACCCCAAGCCCTAACCAAGATCTGTTCCGAGAATCAGTTCCCAATCTTGCAACAGCTGATGCAACTGATGAAAGATTTGTACAAAATCACACCGGCTTACGAAGAACCTCTCGCAATCGTAAAGCAAGGTCTATCGCATGTGGAAGCTGTCGTCTACTCGCTGGTGGAAATCATCTATGCATTTGCGCTTTCCGATAGCGAAATGATTGAATCGATGGCCAAATTCTTCGTTGAACTGCTCCTTGATCCTGCACCGATCATCAGCCACAGTGCAAAACAGGCGATGATTCGTCTTCTCCGGCCGAAAATCCGTCGGCGTAAGGTTCTCATCGAAAGCCCTCCTGTCTGCTCAACCCCAACCCCATCGACTGTGACTTCGGTTTTGGTTGGACCGTCCACCTCGTCCGGTCCATCCTCTTCAACTGGAGGTGTCGGTGGAGCGGCAGTTTCTGCTGCAGCAGCTATTGCTGCTGGGGGATCTGCTGGAAATGAAGACTTTGCTGGTGCAATGCAGGAAGTGGACGCCATAGAATCGCTTGGATTGGAACCATCCGGTGGAAATCAGGCCTTGGCATCGTTGGAAGCTCTTCTGGGAGTTGGTTTCCCACATTTGTTGGAAGCACAAGACACAGATGACGAAGCCATTATGGAGATTGCCATTGCATTGAGCTTGCAGGACAACGAGACGGATCTAGCTGCTTTGCAACAGAGCATCGCACAGTACCAGGGCAGAAATCGCAATCAAGCTCAAGGTTTACCTGCGGCCATTGCAGGTGGTTCATCGTTCAACGTTGAATCGAACACATCCGGTGGTGGCTCTGATGATGACGAAATATCCAACGTAGCTACCGAGGGATCTACTTTGAGGACATCTCCTGCCGGTGAGCATCCCGGAAGTGGAAGTGGTGGCTCAGAAAGTGGATGTAGTGGAGTTGAGAGCATTGGCGGAACATCAGGAAGAAGCTCAACCTACGAAGAACAACCCAATCCTTCACCTCCGAGAACTTCTGGAGTTGACCAAATTCCGCCCCAACCGGTGGCTCCTCCTGAAACCGAAGAAGCTGGAGGTGAGAATGCTTGCAAGTTGCACATCCTGAGATACTCGATCCTAAACAAACTGGTCGACAACTTTATTACGCTGGACACAGTCAACGGCTCACAATGTATTCCGTTCATGCAAGTTATTCTAATGCTAACTTCGGATTTGGACGGAAGTCAGGAAGCTGACCAGCAGGTTATGAACCGGTTGTTGCAGGCACTGATCGATCGTTTGGAGATTCCGACGACCAAAACCTACCAGATGTCGGGCCGTACATCGAAAACTGAAGTTCAACTAATCATCCTTCGCCTGGTTGGGGTCCTCATGGGTAAGGTGAAGTCAAAATCATCGTCATCGTCAGCTGCCATTGGATCCGCCGTGAGCCAAACCGTTCTGGACAATGCTACGTTTGTAGCTCAAGCAACGGCCAACGCACTTATGAAGAACAATGCGATCCCTTACTGTCTGATGATAATGGAGTCGTTCCTCCCTCACTGGAAGAACGTTGCCAACAATGAGGAGCTTTTATCTGGAACCAGTTCTGCCAATACAACCACGGGTCCAGTTATAACTACACCTGGTGGAGCTCCTACCAATAGTCTGCTGAAGGCAACTTTGTACGGACTCTCTCCGGATATGCAGCCCTTCTTTGCCCGTCAGTACGTCAAGGGTTGCACTGACGTGTTCGAATTGTATCCGCAGGTTCTTACAGAAATGGCAGTTCGTTTACCCTACCAGATTCTCAAACTGTCATCGGGTCATCCATCGTCTCACGATTGGTACCATTTGCTGTGTGAGTACATGACCAACACCCTCTGTGAGTACATGATGTACATGCAGTCTCCTGTTCTACGCCGCCAAGTCCGCAAGCTGCTGTTGTACATCTGCGGGAACAAGGAAAAATATCGTCAACTGCGCGATTTACACTCCCTGGACACCCACATGAAGGCCGTGAAGGAATGTTGTGATGGCAGTGCTCCACCAATTTCATCCATAGGCTCAAGCACCAGCGCTATTTTGAGCTACGATGCGCTCGTAGAGCTGACCGAACACTTCCGAGCCTGTCAGGAGATTGCCTCGATTCGCACCGGAAATTGGCAAAAGTTCTGCGTTCGAAATTCAGATATTCTACCATCGCTGTTGAACATCAGCTGCTGCCAGCTAGAGGAGGGTGTTTCTTCGATCATCCTACAACTTCTGCAATCAGCGATTTGCAATACCCAAGGCAGCAAGCAGGATTCTGGATCAGCTTCATCGACGAGCATGAAAATATCAGTGCTGAAAGAACGCAAGGATCGCGACAAGTCAGAGGAATCGGATACGGCAACGGAATCCAAGTTCGATCCGGCGCAATGCGTTGCTCTGGTGACTCAAATCTTCAACCAAGTGCCGTTCCATAATCTGACCAAATTCATTCGTAGCTTCTTGCTGGAAACAAATTCCACCGCTATCCGTTGGCAAGCTCATAGCTTAGTTTATGCTTTCTACGAGAACAGCAACGAAGCGAACAAAGAACTTCTACTGCAATGCTTGTGGGGACTGTGGCCATTGTTGCCGGCATATGGAAAACGGACTGCTCAGTTTGTGGATCTACTCGGATTCCTCACCCTCAACACTAAATCCTTGAGCGACAAGCTGCCGGACTACACTGCGCAAGCCGTTTCCGTACTTCGTCAACAAAACGAACTACTTTCCAAACATCCTAATGCTCCGATCTACACAGCGCTTGGCCACGTTCTTGAATTGGAAGGCTTCTATCTGGAATCGGAACCGTGTCTGGTTTGCAATAATCCTGAAGTTCCTTTCTCAAACATCAAACTGTCAACGATCAAGGTCGATTCTAAATTTACAACCACTACGACGATTGTCAAGCTGGTCCAAAGCCACACAATCTCGAAGATTATTCTCCGTATTGCCGACCTGAAGCGAGCCAAGATGGTACGTACAATCAACATCTACTACAATAACCGCACGGTCCAAGCCGTGGTGGAGCTCAAAAATCGTCCCTCGATGTGGCACAAGGCTCGTAAGGTGACTCTCCAGTCCGGCCAGACGGATGTCAAGATTGATTTCTCTCTGCCGATAACAGCGTGCAACTTGATGATTGAGTACGCCGATTTCTACGAAACAGTGAGCGGATCCAGCGAGAGTCTGCAGTGTCCACGTTGCAGTGCCGTCGTGGCAGCGAATCCTGGCGTCTGTGGCAACTGCGGTGAAAACGTGTTCCAGTGTCACAAATGCCGCGCCATCAACTACGACGAGAAGGATCCGTTCCTGTGTCATTCGTGCGGCTTCTGCAAGTATGCCAAGTTTGACTACAGCATCTTCGGTCGAGCCTGCTGTGCCGTTGATCCGATCGAGTCGGCTGAAGATCGCACCAAAACGGTACAGACGATCCATGCGTCGTTGGAGAAGGCTGATCGTTCGTACAAAACGCTTCAGAACAATAAGCAAATATTGGAACTTTTGGTCCAAAAGGTGGCCGAACATAAACTGGATCGTACGTTGGATGAAACACTGATCGGTTCAGTCGTTGGATCGTCCCAGGTGAACAAGGTGATCCAACTATTGGCGCAGAAGTACTGCGTTGAATCCAAGTCGACGTTCGAGGAGTTGAGCAAGATCATTCAAAAAGTGCAGGCTTGCAGAAGGTAGGTTTTTTTTTTTTTTGGTTGACATTAGAGTGACCTCATTATGATATTTTACAGAGAACTAGTAGCGTATGATCGAAGCCAGATGGATTCGCCGGGTGGTGGTTCTTTAGCCGTTGGATCGACGTCGGATAGAGCCGTGGCTCTTAACAAGTGCTACGGTTGTGCATTGGCTTCAACCGAACAATGTTTGACCTTGCTGAGAGCAATGGCTTCCAATATGCCATGTCGTGTGGGGCTTTGCAATCAGGGATTGGTTCAAGAACTTGCTATGAACAATCTGCGTCGTGGAACCAACCAAATCCAAGATGAAGTTCGCCAGCTGCTTTGCCTGTTGACTCGTGATCTACAGGACGCTACTGCCGACCTATGCCAACTGTTGCAGGACCGTGTTAAGATGGCCCTCAGTGGCACGGTTCCGTTGGCCAACTTAGATTCGGCCGTGCGTCACGAGATGGCCCTGTTGGAAGCAATGACAGCCCAGGATGATTCGTGTTGGGAGTTGAAGCTGAAGACAGTGATTGAACTGTTTTTGCAAGCGTCAAGGTATGTTTTTTTTTCGGAACGAACAATTTGCTTCAATGATGTGCCCTTCTTGAGCAAACAATCATCGGTCGGAAGTGTTAATTATGTCTTGCCCTGACTTTTATATTTTGTTTTTACTACACAGAGACGTACGTGGTCCGGCAGTGGCCGTCATCCAACCGTGTCTGCGCATTGTGCAATCGTTAATGTGTCCACCATTGCCGACGAGCAAGACGAACAAAGATCTGACAACCCAGGAGCTCTGTACCGTACAGCCCAATGAAGGGCTCACCGTAAGCTACGAGAAGTGGATTTCCGGTGACCCGCAGCACTCGTTCGCCGCTTGGAAGGCCCGTATGCCACCGATAACGGGTACAGCTACACCTCGCGCCGAGGATAGTACCATTCAGTTGGCACAAACGGCTGGATCGGCATCCGGAGAGGGAGCAGTAACTACTCCAATAAGCAGTTTCCGTTCGGCTCTGGAGCAGAAACGTAGCCGTTACAGGAATGCCTATCTGTTCGACAAGTACGGCAAACGTTGGCGTCAGAAGGTTCTCAACAAGGGTGTTAATGCAGTTCCGCTGGAACTAACTGCTGCGTGGTTGCAACCGGTTCTGTTCAACACCAATTCTCGCCTAGGTCGACAGTTGGCTTGCGCATTGGTTACTTCCTTGAGTAGAACACCGGAGCGAAAGCGGGAGATTCTTGATTTGCTGACTGGTTTCCTGAAAAATATCGGCGAATGTGGTGAAGCCAGTGCTGAGTTCATTGCTCTCTATCGCATTCTAGCAGATGAAACCCCGTGGCGTCAGTATCTTGCGTTGAAGGGAGTGCTATCGTTGATTGCGGATCTTTTGACGGTGGAGATCGAGAAGATTCATCGTCTGGAGGAGACGACACTTTCATCGGATCTGGCGCAGGGTTATGCTTTGAGGCAACTGGTAGAAATGATGGCGATGTTCTTGGACAATCCACCCATCAGAAAAGCCTTCAAGGGCAAGCTGCTGGGATCGGTCTTGCAAGGCTATTTGAACTTAAGGAAGCTGGTGGTGCAGAGGACTCGTTTGATTGATGATGCTCAGGAGAAGCTGCTGGAGATGCTGGAAGAGATGACTACTGGAACGGAGGAGGAAACTGCGGCGTTCATGGCGGTTTGTATTGATACTGTTCGAAAGACACCAACTTCGGATGTAAAAACGCCGGTGTTTATGTTCGAACGTCTGTGCTCTATCATCCATCCCGAGGAGAACGATGTTGGGGAATTCTTCTTGACTCTAGAGAAGGATCCCCAGCAGGAGGACTTCTTGCAAGGAAGAATGTTGGGTAATCCGTACCCTTCGAACGAAGCCGGACTGGGTCCGTTGATGAGAGATGTCAAAAATAAGATTTGCATTGACTGTGAGCTGGTGGCGCTGCTCGATGACGATAACGGAATGGAACTGTTGGTACACAACAAGATCATCAGTTTGGATTTGCCGGTAAAGGAGGTCTACAAGAAAGTTTGGCTGCAGGAAGGTGGAGAACGTGACGCGATGAGAATTGTCTATCGCATGCGTGGTCTACTGGGAGATGCCACGGAGGAATTTATCGAGACGCTGAACGCCAAGAGTCAGGAGGAAGTGGATAACGAGCAGCTCTATCGCATGGCCAACGTTCTATCGGACTGTGATGGTTTGAAGGTGATGCTTGATCGTATCGGCAGTCTCCAGAATGTTTCAAGATCGAGAACTCTTTTGCAAGTTTTGTTGAAGCTCTTCCTTCTCAGTGTGAAAGTTCGTCGCTGCCAGGAAGTTCTATGTCAACCGGAACTTGGAGCAATCAACACACTTCTCAAAGTGCTTCAGCTGTGTCTTCAGAGTGAAAATGACGCTCAACAATCGGCAGTAACGGAACAGCTGCTCGAAATTATGGAAACAATCCTCTCCAAGGCCGCTTCGGATACTCTCGATTCGTTCCTACAATTTTCGCTAACCTTCGGAGGACCGGAATACGTTCAAGCTCTGCTGTCCTGTACCAACTGCGCAAACGTTCGCAACAACCCGTCGGTTCTGCGCCATCTCATTCGAGTTCTGGCTGCTCTCGTTTATGGCAACGACATCAAGATGGCTTTGTTGTGCGAACATTTCAAGGAAGTTTTCGATTTTAACAAGTTTGATGCCGATCGTTCCCCGGAAGACGAGTTCAAGATGGAGTTGTTCTGCGTTCTGACCACTGGAATCGAGCATAATTCAATCGGTGGTATTCTGAAGGATTACATCATGAGTCTAGGCATTGTAGATAAGGCTCTGGAGTATATTAGAAGTCACGCTCCCTGTGTCAAGCCAACCTTGCTGAGGACGGACTCCGATGAACTGAAGGAGTTCATTTCCCGTGCTTCATTGAAATATATCCTGCGGTTCCTGACTGGTTTGGCTACGAAACATGAAGCAACCCAGTTGGCAGTTGCCAAGGACATAATCCCAATCATTCACCGTTTGGAGCAAGTTTCGAGTGACGAGCATGTAGGATCTCTGGCTGAGAATCTTCTGGAGGCCCTATGTACGGAACTAGCAACGGCTAAACGTGTTCAGGAAGTTCGCGATTTCACTCGAGCCGAGAAGAAACGCCTAGCGATGGCTACCCGGGAGAAACAACTGGATGCTCTGGGTATGCGGACCAATGACAAGGGACAAGTTACAGCCAAGGGTGCAATTCTATCGCAGATTGAGAAGCTCCGCGAAGAAACTGGTTTGGCTTGTTTCATCTGCCGTGAAGGCTACGCTTGTCAACCGAATAAAGTACTTGGTATCTACACTTTCACTAAGCGTGCAAACGTCGAGGAGTTTGAAATGAAGCAGAAGAAGACCGTCGGATATACCACGGTAACTCATTTCAACATCGTTCACGTCGATTGCCACATGTCGGCCATTAGACTGGCTCGAAGCCGTGATGAATGGGAAAGCGCATCGTTGCAAAATGCTAACACCCGATGCAACGGACTGCTCCCACTGTGGGGCCCAGATGTCAGCGAATCGTCTTTCTCGTCCTGCATGGCCCGCCACAACAATTACATGCAGGAATCAACCCAACGCTGTGAAATCACCTTCAGTAGCTCAATCCATGATCTGAAACTGCTATTGCTGCGCTTCGCTCAAGAAAAAAGCTTCCATGAAGATGCCGGAGGTGGTGGCCCGCAGTCCAACATGCACCTAGTTTCCTATTTGTTGTTCTACAGTCTGTACACGCTTCTTTCGTCGCGTTCTTATTCACGCGAAGAAATGATCCTATCCGCATTCATTAACAACAAGCCATCAGACCGTTGGCTGGAATGCGCCTATGAGTCGGAAGGTCCGCTCTACCTGATCGCCATGTCGCTAGCATTGCACACCCCGGGAATATGGAATCGTAACAAGTTGGCACACCTGAAGCGGATGATTGCCATTGGCCATGCCCGTCACGTCAGTCCGAACAGCATTTGCAAGTTTGTGGCCCCGAACGACAAGTCCCAGAAGGATTACAACGTCTACAAACCGTATCTGCTGATGTGGGGTCTGGTGGATTTGATCTACAAGAACTTCTTCCGCACGGTGACGACGCCGAAGGACGAGGACTGGCCGATTTCGTTGTTCGATTACATCCGTCGCAACGATGAGGCAATGCTGAAGAACGCAGACAGCACGTTGGAGACGTTCACCGAGGAGTACGCACCGTGCACTTCGTTTGCTGAGTTTTGTGATGTGGCTGGTGAGTGTTGATAGAGGTTCACGTCGATCATGGTGTTTGTTAAATCAAGTGATTTTTTTTGTAGGTCTCTTGGGTGACATCGAGAATCCGGATGGCTGGATAGACGAACTGTTGCAGTCGCTGCCTTCACCGGGATCGGCATCTACGGCTTCGGGGACAGCTTCGACGGCTACTACTGGAAGCAGTACTGCTGGTGGTTCTTCTTCGAACGCTTGAGTTTGGCCGTGGATTGTCTCCAACGACGACGATGATGATGATTGGTGATGGTAGAACCTACCCGATTGAATTAACAACAACCATACAAGTTTGATTCTATTATCTTAATCTAATGTATTTTGTGGCTAAAAGCATATTTCAAAAATAAATTTAATAATGCACTGAATTAGTAGCGAAGCTTAATCTACATAAAATAATAAGCACACATACTAGAAAGCAAAGCAGTACTGAATATCTATATTATGACAGTGTGATTAATCAATTTCATGTTCTATTTCAATAAATATTCACAGCAATTGAAAATCGGCGTGTTTTATTTGCTTTATCCTGAACAATCATACTTGTACCAAAAAGCCGCACGAGTTCAGTCGTAGTCGAACCGATAATTGAAATAAGCGGACAAAATTAAATTGAGCCAACTTCAAGCCACTCCCAGTCGCCAATGATCCGAGGTAAACAAATTCTTCCACAACCTAGAACTCATCTCCGTCGATTATCACACTTCTGTCTATGCGAGCTGTATCGCGATCGGTTCCTCCAGCCAACGGATACATAGTCTTCAACTTATTCACCTTAAATCCAACCTTTTCTGGTTACGTTTCAACCTGGATGTACTGCTTTCCAACCGCCTCGAACGTTCTTCCGACAATGTCCACGTTGTCAGCGGAGCAAATGAACTGGTTGGATTTAGATTGTCACCCCTATTCGCTTTTAGAAATCCGTTTCGAACGGAATACAGACTAGGGGTGTGAACCCGCACGTTTCGTATTCACCAAATGTTGGAACAGGGGGCAGGAAGGACCAGCGCCTCGTTGAAGTCCTTTGTGTGTTTTAAATGAGTCCGATAAGAAACTTGATATCCTCACACAGCTGATCATTTTTCAGGGAAAACCATTCTCGTCCATAACTCTTCACGGTCAATAGTATCGTAAGCGGCCTTGATATCCGCGACACTTGAAATACATGGTTTGGCAGGTCGTTGATAAGACAATTAACTCGGAAGACGGAGTCTCTATATGCGAATACAGGTCGGACTAAATTATTGATAACTGACTTTCTTCACTTCATTTCTTGTAAACCATTCAATCGCGCAAATAACACCAACAACGATCAGAGGGAACGGAGGGTTTCTCACGGAAGAAACATCCAATTACATTCAGTTATATCCTAGAAGGTGTTGACGTACATCGTACAAACTATAATTCGTATGGTGCTATCAATGGGCTACAAAGAGTTTTCAATCGTGTTGCTTCCTTATTTGATTTTCACTTGGCACGCGAGACGCTGCGTCGGAGATTCCGTGATATATTTTTAAGAACTAGGAATTAAGTTGGACTTCACGGCCTTTGCAGCTTGTTACTTCTTGACTATATTGTATTTCCTAGTATTGCTTAATCCATCATTAGGACTAAGCCCAGTCTGTTGATGTAGAACCAAATAAACAAATATCCATGATCTGGCAAATCATTTATTGACAGGAACATCGTCCCGAGCCGTGACCAAGTATTCATCCGAACCCTCGTCATATTTGATTTTTATTTTATTTGAGAAAATCCAGAACACGTGAGCTAATCCATATTATCTTGAAACGTGCGAAAGTTTCTTTCTAACTTTTATGACAACCAACCCATTGGTGGGAAATTGATTAATTTCAAAATAAAGTAAATAGACAAATTTCAAACTAAGAACAAAATAACAAAATCTATATATTTCTTATCAGTCGTCTGATTCGTACAGAAATTCAAGGAGATACGAAGCTTAAACAGTATTTAAAGTCAAGTCAGATTGAACAATGTGAAAATTCGAATTTACCATTGTTCGTCGGCGTCATCATTCGATCCATTGGTTGTTCCTTCTCCTCCTCTTCCTCCAAGATCCAGCCTACGGATGATTTTTTCATCGAACGAGGAATCTTGATCGTCATACTGCTGCTGCTGTTGTGGTTTCCTACGGTTTCCAACCGGCCCGGTTTTGGGACCGAAACTATTCATCCGGCGATTTACGTTAGGCTCGGCGGTCCCCAAAATTACCGATCCGTTGGAAAATTGCACATTGGCAAGACTAAATCCGGCTGGAATTATGTTGAGCGCAGACGAATTGCCGTTTGCTGGCGCTTTGGATGTGTTAGCTTCTTCAGGGTTTTGATGGGTTCCTGCCCGTCGTCGCAGTTTTATCTTGTGTAAAGCAGGGGCCACGTCCGCCATAGATTTGTCGTATATGCTATCCTGCGGTTTGCGGGGGTTAGGATTATTGTTTTTGGAATTTTGCTTCCATTTATTCCGGTGCATCGCAGTATCGTGTTCTTCTTCGGAATCTTCGTCAATCAATTCTCTATAGGCAAGCTCATACCGGCGTCGGGGTTTTCCTTGCAGCTCTGAAGATTCAGGCAACGGGGGATTAGTGAACTCCGAGACCTCAGGACTGGTGAATACAACCGACGAGGAGGCTGTATTACGCATGTCCCACTCGAGGACTTTTTTGCGAGCCTGTTCGATGAGAAACTTATCCTGGAAGCGCATCCTTTCAGATTCGAATGCTTCTGTCGTCGTGGAGTACTCCGTGCGAAAAGTGTTGGTGTGATATTTCATATTCTCACGATACTCGTTATCTTCCGACCGACGCATATCCAATGTTCGCAACAGGGGAAATTCTAAAAGTGGAATACATGATATTCGGCATTTAAACCCTGACTTGTAATTGTGTTGATGTAACTGCACAAACTTACTGTTGTAAAATTCATCCTTGTCGACAACCATCACAATTTTTCCGGCGACCTTTTCCAACAATGCAATCGCATCGTTTGACACGTTCTTATGGGATATGATCTGCATTGACCCGAAATGAATATCTACTCCCCCCCTTTTGTAGTGGTGAAGAATGCTAAACTTCATCGCTACGGCATCATCAATCAAGTTTTGGAAAGCAATAGCAACACCTGATGCCCAGTTTTCGACAATCTTGTGAACGGAACGACCCTCCAAATAATCATAGCTCTGAAAATATTCACCATAGTCAATCAAAAGAAATCGCAAGTAAAAATCATCTCCACTCTACCGTTTCCGCCGGAAGTATTCCCTCCAGACCGCCGTGCTTCACGCTGCTGGGCATCTTGGCGAATTTAGCCGGCAGCGGCTTGATGTACCGGACACCTGTCTTGATCGGAACGCCCTCATCGATGGCCCACAGGTTGCAAATCACTTGTCCTCCAAGTTCCTCCTGGATATCATCGACGACAGCTCGGGTCCAGCGTCCCAGCTGGAAATAGAACACCGCTACCAGTTCTCCCACTTGGTTTGGTTTGTAAACGCCGGAAGTGATGTTGCCTCTTCCGAAGTTTGTCTCGCAGAACTCGATCAGCTCCAGCTGGAATTTCTGCTCTTCCGCATTGTAAAGGTAGGCGGACTCGCTTTTGAACCAAAAATTGTGTGGATTGATGTAGTGGGTAACCCGGATGAGGTCTTTGTCGTGATCCTCTTGAGACATGGCTGAATCGATACCAACCAGGCACTACTAATCGATGCTAGTAAATTGGAAATTTACCAACAAAAAAAATGTGAACTTTCGAATAAAAAAAATACTGCACTTCTGAACCCTCTTAGTTCTGAACCACTCTCAGAACTTTTTGTTTGCAAGCCAAACGAGCTCGAGCTAAGTGTTGGACTGATGGCAATGAGCACGGTAACCGCAAAATACGCAATAATGACTACAAAGTAAGCATTTTCGAGGGAGACTGGGACTACTCATTAAATGAGTAAAAATATTACCCATTTATGAGTATTTGTTACTCAAAAATGAATACTTACTACTTATTTTTGTAGTTGTAATTACTCATAAATGGGTAAAATTTTACTCATTTTATGGGTAGTCCCAGTTTCCCTCGAAAATGCTTACTTTGTAGTCATTATTGGGTATTTTGCGGTTACCGTGAGGTCTATAGTGATGGACTGATGGCAATGAGGTCTATACAGGTGTGGCACAAGAGGGTATTATTTGTTGGATTACACGCTTACTTCAGCTTACTCACCGGGTGAGTTGATAGTACTCAATTTCGTCGGATGCATTCTGAAGGGGGACGTGCTTCCAAATCAGCCTATTGTCAACAATCAATACGAAACTAATTAATTGGTTTTTCCTATGTTTCGAGGGATGAATCGATTAGCTTGGGACCAAAGAGAGTACCAGAGCTGAGCCAAAAAGTTGAGCACGTTATTTCGGGACCTTCTAGTCTTCACGGATACGAATTTTGTTCATTTAAATTAAAAATATACATGTTTATACCTTTATACTCTAACCATATGAATTATTCAAAGTAAATTGAAAGGATGTTAGAAACTAAAATATGTATGTTTGAATTAAATTCAAAAGCATGTTTATTTCAACAATATCGAAACACAAATTGTATTTGACAGCATCTGTCACTGACGTGTTTGTGTTTGACTGACAATGATCGGTTTCTGTACGTGGCGAATAAGAATGGAATCGGTGGGACCTGGCCAAGCGGGAATGTTTGACGGTGATAAAGGCGCAGAAGACCAAGCAGAAAACGAGATCAAGAGCTGGACGGAGCGACACTGGAGCTGGTGACTCTTCACAGAACAGGGGTTTTCCGGAAGATCACCCATCATTCATGGTGAAGGACTGGTCTCTGGATGAAGGACTGATGTGATTGCATCCGGATCATAAGACGACGATAATGCATGTATAAGCGCATGATTGGTGATTTAACCTAATCGAGCACTTTTATTTGTTTCATCCGAAAATAATTTATAATAATAAATAGAAAATCACGCTAAACATTAAGTACGATTAATATAAACATCAAAATCATGTTTAAAATAAAAATATTTATTTTTGATTATAAAGCTTTCACGTTTATTTTCAACACAAATATTTTCAAAATAAACGTAGCATGACTTTTATTTTAAACATTGATGTCACAGGACTTTAAACAGAAAATACGTTTGAAATCAATCTAATTTATTTTTGTGGCCAGAACAAACTGAATTTATGTTTATATTTACCTCAAATATCTTTATTTCGATAATATTTTTTTCTGCGTGAAGTAACGCACATATGCATAATTCTTATGGGCGGGGTTCCATCGCACTTATGAGCCAACCGGTGAACACTTGTGTTTATTTCAGTTACCGTGTGGACGTAATTTGTGATGAGCCCCGGTCCCTTTCAAATTGTATCATTATTTATGTACGGTCCATATATTTGAAATGACGTTTCACATTCATCTAGTGATGGCCGATTTTCACCCACGCCTACGCGTGCTAAAACGTCAACGCTCTGCCACCCTCCGAAAGTATTGTTACTCTCGCTCACCGTACTACAAACGACTGTTCAATTTTGCGAGTCGTAGTTATCGAAATTACAATCGTTTTCTCTATAATCGACACGTGAGGCGCACGGAAGCGAACCTTCGCACGAATCCGAAAAGTTTTTGGTCGTTTGTCAACTCCAAACGGAAGGAATCCGGGTTGCCTTGTTCCATGTTTCTCGGGAATGACTCGGCTAATAGTGAAAGAGAAAAATGCGACTTGTTTGCTCGTCATTTCAAGCAAGTGTTCAACGATTTCTCCGCTTCGCCAAAACAAGTGCTGGATGCTGCTGTTGGGATGCCACGTGATGTGTTTAGTTTCGTTATTCCGCGCATTTCAGAAGACATGGTGATTGCCGCAACACGCAGACTGAAGCTATCGTTCGCCTCTGGACCTGACGGCATTCCGTCATCAGTTCTAAAACGTTGTGTAGCCAATCTCTGCCTTCCACTTGCGAGGCTATGCAATCTCTCGGCACAGCAATGTGAGTTCCCCTGCCGCTGGAAACTTTCTTATTTGTTCCCAGTGCACAAAAAAGGAGATAAACGGAATATCATAAATTATCGTGGAATCACCTCCCTGTGTGCCTGCTCAAAACTGTTCGAGATAATCATAAATGGTGCTCTGTTCGCACGCTGCAAAAATTATATCGATACAGAACAACACGGTTTCTACCCGAAGCGCTCCGTGTCCACGAACCTGGTGCAGTTCACTTCTAACTGTCTGCGATGCATGGATTCAGGATGGCAAGTCGATACTGCGTATATGGATCTAAAAGCTGCATTTGACACGGTGGACCATAATATCTTGCTGACCAAGCTGGAGATACTTGGCATCTCGTCAACTGCTGTGGATTGGTTCAGATCTTACTTGGTGAATCGCTATGTACATGTCAAGATTGCCGCGTCGGAATCGGATGTTTTCTCAAACAACTCGGGAGTCCCGCAAGGCACACGGATAGAAATCTCCTTATACCTTTTGGCAAATTTCCATTGCTGATTATTCATAAATTGTATAAGTCGACTAATAACCCGAATAGAAATTGTAATGTAGGAAACATCAGCAGACATCTTCATTACATTAAATTTTAACGTGTATTGCTGTAACCTTAATGTATTCAGACTTAATGTAAGCAGACGCCTTGCAAAAAGTTAATAAAGATCATGTGTCAAATGAAATGTATAAGCGGTCACACATACCTTTTATGCATTCTAATAGGACTTATGTGGTTTGTCTTATGGAATGTATAAGGCTGATGCTTTGGCAAAAATGTATAAGTGAAACACATGAATTAAATAATTGATTTTCGTTTCGTGCAGTAACCTAGGACCGCTACTATTTTCGATCTTTTTAAACGATGTCGCCTTGCTGATACCATTAGGATGCCGCGTTTTCTATGCAGACGATACGAAAATCTACAAAATTATTAAAAGCCTCTCGGACTGCTGGGATCTCCAGAATATGTTAGGTATTTTTGCTGACTGGGGCTCAAGAAATTTGATGAGTCTAAGCATAGAAAAATTTAACATTATTTCATATCACCGAAAAATAGAACCAATCATGTTTGACTATGTTCTCTACGGACGCTGTCTTGCTCGTGTAGAGCACATAAAGGATCTCGGCGTTACCTTGGACTGCAGACTCACTTTCAGAATCCACTACAATGACATCATCTCCAGAGCTAATCGACAATTGGGCTTTATTTTCAAAATTGCCGACGAGTTTCGTGACCCGCTATGTCTCAGGTCACTTTACTGCTCGCTTGTGCGATCATTATTGGAGTCAAGTTCAGTTGTTTGGTGCCCTTTCCATGCTAGCTGGATCACTAGAATTGAATCCGTTCAACGCAAGTTTGTGAGATATGCTCTTCGTTTCCTCAACTGGCGTGACCCAACGAACTTGCCACCGTACGAGGAGCGTTGCCGACTCTTGGGAATCGAGCCATTAGAGGTGAGACGGACGGTCGCTCAAGCTATGTTCGCTGGAAAGCTGCTTACAGGTGACATTGACTGCCCAACACTGCTGTCACAGCTAAATATGTATGCCCCTGAGAGGTCTCTTCGTCAACGCGACTTTCTGTTTTTGGAACCACGGAGCCGGAATTATACACAACACGAGCCAATTCGAACAATCAGCCGGCAATTCAACAACTTTTTTTATATGTTCGACTTCAATGTATCAGCTGACGTGTTTCGTCATCGGCTACTTGGCCTTTTCCGTACCGTTGACCGTAACTATTTAGTTTAAGTTTTATTCATTTAGACAGTATTTGTCAGTTGAATTTTTCAATAAACAACAATAAACAATAAACAATTCGAATTATCGATTAATCGATTAACGAACCAAAAAGTAAAATATTTGCAATCGGTTATCCCGAAAAAAAATAACAACAAAAATACATTAAAAAACAATGTAACAATAAGACGAAAATTATTGTCTTAACAATGATTTATATTGTTACGTCTACAATAAATTTACCTTGATTTATGTTGTACAAAACAATAAATTTCATGGTAAATGGAAAATTTACAATAAAAAAGGGGGGTTGTTAAGTATCTTAACAATGAAATTTTCGTGATTTTCCCATATAATTTTTTTTCAATAACATTATATATTATTGTTATTTTACTGTTGGTTGGCGAATTTATTTATTAAAAAAAATAACAGTGTACTTTAGAGTGTATGTGTTGGCTTGACAGATCTACTTTATCGACTTTAAAAATAAATCGAAAAAATAAAACTTTGCCCCGGAAGGGAAGAGGGTGGTATATCTGTTACGGGTGGTCCTTTTTTTTACTGGTTATGGATCGATTCAATCAGATTTATTTTTATTGTTCGTGAAGTAACCCACAATGAAAATACACCAATATTTAATGTAACAACAATTTTTATTGTAATAGAGTTGTTCATTATTGTTCATGATCGAATCATGTTAACAATAAAATAAATGAAAAAAACGATAAAAATCATTGTAACAACATTTTATTATGTACATTCATTGTACAGCTAGGTAGCAGTTTTGCCGTTTTCGGAAGAGTACAACATTATAACAATCATTTTTATTGTCGACAATAAATATTAATGTTAGAGCATTGTTTCCACTGAAAATTTCACTGTAATTTTTTTTTCGGGATATCATGCCGATATAAGCATTAACTTTTCCAGAGGATCATCACCGATCGTTTCAAACATGTGCTGCAACTCTTTGGTGGAAAAATGCTCGGAAAAATGGCAGCACAGCGAACAAAAAAAAAAATCGATTAGTTGTTAATCGAGTAATTAAAAAATGGGACACCTCTGATTTTGGTGTGTTTGTTTTGATAAAAATGAGCGCAAAATTTCATCTCTACCGAGGGGGCAGCAAAACCACAAAATTACCTTGAATACGAGGGGTATTCAATGGATGAAAGGGACCGAGAAAGAGGACACTAAAATAGAAAGTTTTTCTTCCGACAGTTTCATCTTAGTATTCATCTTTGTATGAGCGGCGCGTTTCGACCGTCACCAAATGAGAATTTAACATAAGCGCGACAATTATAAATATTTTCCATTGGATATGTGATTTATTCTTTGAGTGCACAAAAGTCTATTTTCACCATTTTCACCGAGAGGGTTTGACTCACTAAACCCACTTTTGTGCTGAAATGAGCAGTTTCGACTCAATTTTGAGTTATTGCAAATTACCGTGTATGATGTCAAAAAATCAAAACAAAAGCGTGGTGTCCGAAGAAAAAAAGTCGTTACTTATTTCAGAATTTACATAAATTTTATTACTGGTTTATATTAGATGAAAATTAGTGAATGAAAACCATACTAACTAAAACGGAGTATAGCTGAAATTGCCATGCCTCTATACCCGAAGTATGCAACAGCTCTTACGCGAATTGCGCTCCAACGCGAAGCTGCCCGTGCCTACAGCCAGCAACGAGAATCCGATGCCATTTTCTTTGCCACTGAAGCCCTCTGCGCTGGAATCCACCGACGGTTCGACGACGATAGTAGAAAGCTGACCCAAAACGGTAGAATTTTCCAGTCCTGAATAGCCTTCAATAAAGTTCATTAATTTGTGTAAATATTTCAGATAACATATTGTCCAAGTTAGTTAACGATCTCAATGTAAATGAAAATGATCCAACGGATATTGATCCAGCTGCGGGATTCGTAAACCTCCACCAGCATTGTCAGCAGCTTCCGGAAGAGTGGACCGTGTTCCAGATCAGCAAATGTTATACACCCCGATGGAATTTGCTCACCCATCAGCAAATGCTAGAAGAGAATACACATGTGGAGATTATTCTGCTGAAATATCCCAATTCGGAAACTCTGAACGGAAAACCATTGTTGATACGATTGGATCCGCCGGACAGTTCAGATTTCTTTTCGGTGCTGTCGTCGATTCCGGCGGAGGTGAAATCTTTCCTTGAAGAAGAGGTTAACTCCGGTTCCCGACGACAAGAAGAAATTGAAAATCATATCGGCGGCATAATCGATCGTCTGACCGCCTGGCTGGGGCCATGGATTGTACTTTTTAGTGGAAAATTCACCTCCCCTCGAGATCAAAGATTTGAAGCGGAAATCTTCAACCGGGTGGAGGACTTCTGCATCACGAACAAGTATAGCAAACGGGATCAGGTGCTGATTTCCCTAGTCGCCAGACGTATGGATCTGCTTGATTTGAAAACGATCTATCGTTTCTGCTGCGAAATGGTTAAAGACGAGGATGGGCTCAAGGATTTGTATCACCTTCTCACAGAGCTGAAGGATGACAAGTTTGATCTACTGCAGAGTTTCAGCTGTTTTCCTTGTTTGATGGTGGTGGATGAACTTGTCGATAGTTATCCCTGGGAAATGATGAATACCAGCCAGGAGTTTGGTCGATTTGGGTCCGTTCGGTTGTTGATGCAGCTGTTCGAGGCTCATGAGGCTGGAATCAAAAATGGCTATTTGAGGGTGCCGGTGAAGACCTATCACAGTATTATCAATCCGGGTGCGCTGTGAGAAATGTGGACAGTTTTGAAGATGTGTAAATAATTTTCAATTATTCCAATGCTTTGCAGATAACAACCTAGCTAAGATGAGCGTTCGTTTGCAGGCATTCTACAAAGAATGGTATCAAGATTTTAAACTCACTATTGATAGTCCACCGAGTGATATTGAATTTAGCAGTATACTGCGAGAGGTCGACGTCATGATGTGAGTATTTTTTTTCTAATGCATGCTTGAAATTGAAATAGTATACAGTACTTTTACACTCCGGTAGTTACAATGGTCATGGTACCGGGCTTCAGTTTATAGATGGGGAAACTATTCTACAGCAGGACATTAGAAGCCTAATCTTCCTATTCGGGTGCGACTCGGTTCGATTGTTTCCCAGTGGCATCTTTCGCGAAATGGCCGGTAGTCACCTGTACTACAACATTGCCCGATGTCCTGCGGTGGTCGGAGCGCTGTGGGCATTGACCGATTACTTCACCGATTACTACTCGATTCTATTGGTTGGTCAGTGGATTCCGACTCGCAATCCCAAATATCGCGAACATTCCGTTTTTGATTTGGATTCGTCTGCATTCAAGTATGGGACGTTGCGTAAGTTAAGCTGTGCTGTGTCAATCAACTGTAAACTTAAGACTGAGAATATATTGTTGCAGAACTAACGAAAAAATCACAATCCAAACCTGGTTGCGACAACTTGTTGGCGCTGATGGCACAGTTTCGACGGCGCAGCTGGCTCCCAAAGCGTATCCGATGTGCAATGGTCTGCCGTGGTTTACCGGTGTTGAATTCTACGTTCTAAAAAGGTACGTGATAAACTGCTTAAAACTAGACGAAACTGCGATATAAATGATTTGTTTTGATACTTGCCGCTCTTCCATACAAGGAATGGAACAAAAGAAATCCCTTTCTTCCGAAAAGTGTTATTTTTAGACCGCCAGCAAGAGTCCTATACGAAAGTAAGCATGTTTTGGTTTTTTTTTACGCCAAATCAGTGCAAAGATATCACGCAGCTACCTCTAGCCGGTTTCTCGGCCATTCGCGTATCTGATTACCGTCAATTGGATAATGGAATGAGAATTCTCGCTTAAGCGATCATTCTGATTCAATTTACGACAGATGTAGATCTCACGGCACGGTTCCTTTTCCCTTCGGAATAATCTCCTCGGAGTTGAAGAATGAGCGCGTGTTCTCCAGAAGAGGGTGCTGCTGGATCACATACATACGAAAACATTCGGCGATTAGGCCTCAGTCTAGTCTGAGCGGTCGATCGCAGCGGTCGGATATGGTAGTGCGCGAATTGATTGGATCAAAAGTGAAGTGTACAACAGTCAGGAATTATTCAAGGTGAATTATTTATTCCACAAGTGATACCTAGTGTATATTATGGACTGTTCAAATACTTAAGATTAAGGCAATAGCAGTGATTCAATGGGATTGAGAAAATGGAAGGCTTTTTAGTGCTCATGAAGAAGAATTGAAATATACTAGTACATAATCGAATAATTGTGATTAGAATTCCTACGGAATTTTGAGGATAATTTGAAAAAAAAATCTTGGGATAACAGTGTTATATCAAAGAAAATCACCAACGTAGTACTGGGGCGAAATACGTGGCAATTTCGGGAAATCCAAACTGATTCCCCCTACACTGAATCAATATATAATTCTAGGTTCAAATGATTCTTGCCTCACTCAAGCCCTAATCCTAATTCAGATAATTTTAAGACGAGCACATTGACAGGTCACGGAGTCTTTGTTAAAATAACTTTAAAACAAAAAAATCGCATTCCCGAAAACCATTCGAAAAAGGGGCTTTTCCCGTCATTTTGACACTATTACTTAAGTATACTAAATACGTGCTGGATTTCGAAACTTCACGTTTCAAAATCTGGAAGTGTGTTTACAATACCATTGTCCATATGCCAACGGTAGTGTTTACATGCGGAGTTTATTGTATGTGAGAATGACCTCGGAATGGATGTGAATTACCAGGCATTTTGAAATGGGTTGCTGAATCTACAGTAGAGTTATCACGTTCTAACTAACGGACTAAAGTTGAATTCAATTGATTGTTGCTAGCTAATTTCTTCCTATAGTATTTGGCATATTGATTTATAATCAGATAGATCTCACGGAATTCCGCCTCGGAAATAGCACCGCTTTGTTCACTCGCGGTATTCTTAAAAAAAATCGAACACAACATCGTTAATGACACGTGAAAATTTTAAAAGCAATCCTGTGAAAAATTTCAAAGGAATCAATTTTGATTAAAAACATAGAAAATTTTTGGAGAAAAAATTAAGACTCGGGAGAAATTAGTCTCATGCTAAGAAAAGTGTCCATGGTTAAGAAAAATCTTCAGAATTCCGGGGATTTCAAATTGCTAGTGGGTGCTACACACTAAGTGGGCACCTGGCCTAAGCTTCGTCCTTGTTATATTTACATTTGAGGCGTTTCCAACGGATGGCAATGACCTCACTCACAACAACACGTATGATGATGATCCATTACTTGCACCACAGAGTCTGACTCATTTCGTAGCATTCCTCGGCGCTACCGGGCACAGGTTATCCAAATTGATACATGACCTATAATAAGAATAAGCTGCTCGCCATCGTAACAAGCCATTGATCCTGCTATTGCAAGTTGGAAGTTGCATTATCAAGGAATTATCATTCCACAGAACGTAGAACATCCTCGCCGAGACGAAATGAAACTAAAGCTGAAGGCATCGGTAGTGCTGTGTCTGGTAATACTGCTCGTTCTGGTGGACGATGCTAATGCCCGACGTGGTCGTGCCCGAGGACGCACCAAGTCAAGGGTAAGTCAATCAAATTATGTACCAGTATGTATACGCACAAGTCCCATGTGAGCTGAGCGCATCGGTTTTGAAAAAAAAAACGTTTCGAAAGAGATAGGTGTGCTCTATTACTTGGAGTGGTTTGATTTCATACGGCTGTAGTAGAAGAAATTCTTATAACCGGCGTATCATCCCCTTTAAATGCGGTTGGGAGATGATCAACTAAGTGGAAAATTGCCAGCGCTAGGTTCAATGGGTCGGCCGGCAAAGGGTAAATCCAAATCCCATCTGCAGCGCACATGTGGCTTGTGTTCGTTTGAAGGAATAGCCATTGTTATTTACTTATTCACTACATGTTTAATAATGAATGATGCTGTTATATCTTTCCTTTTATGTTTATTTCCAGATGCAAATCGGTTTGCCAATTACGGGAAAGTACCGAGATCCGGAATCCGATCAATATTACAACAACAATAATGTGAGCGAAATATTGCATTTGATATTGAATCCACTAGATCACTAGACAGTATTCATTTATGTATCCAGGATTGAGCGTAATATGCAGCTTTGTAACATTCAGTGGCACATTTCCGTTAAATCGTTAATCGTTCATCAACGGCGTTAATTTTCTGTTGACGAATCAGCGTTTTCGTTAAATATGATAACGAATTGAATTGATTGATCGTTAAATTGTGCATCGTTGAATCATTCGTTGATTTTATGTTTATGGATTAATATACGAGGATTAAATCTATGCAGGATATACTGTATAAAGAAAGAGAGAGAGAGAGAGAAGGATTAGTAAGTTCCATTTAATTCCACTACCTTATTTGCTTATCCTTGACAGATACGCGTATTTCGTCTACAATGTGCAGACTTTTTCAGTGTCTTGTACTAATACTCGCCTAATACTCGCAGTCGAGTATTATTAGTACAAGACACTGAAGAAGTCTGCACATTGTAGACGAAATACGCGATACTTCTCTCTCTCTCTCTCTTTATACAGGTATTCCACTAAGACGCCCACATTCATCAGGATTCACGATATACTGATTAAAAGGCGTTGAAAGACGATAACTTCTATGAATGCTTGAAAATAAACCAAAAACTCTTTAGAAATAGTGCAAACATACTACATACATTCCGGACATGAACAAAAGAGTTCTCTTTTGTTTGTGTCTGGTATAAATGTAGTTTGTCACACTATTTCAAAAAGTTATAGAACTTACAAAAAAATACGGCGACTGGCTACTTGAGCCTCTTTCGTTTTTATGTCGGGCTTTTAACAATTATTCAGGCAAGTACGGAATAATTTTTCCGTGACGGCATTTTCAAATGGAATCCACGGAATTAGACTCAAGCAAAAAATGAAATTAGTGTCTATATTCCTTGCATGTGATATTCTATTATTTACTTAACGATCCTGCGCACCTCCAGGGGTGCAAAGGGCCTTTGTGAAGGATTTCCATCCTGGGCGATTACTAGCTTTGGCCTTGACCTGTGCCAAGGTCAAATTTCGGTCAACGTTCTTAATTTCACTGTTTAGGCTCCGCCGCCACGAGCCTCTGGGTCTGCCTCTGCTGCGATGTCCTGCTGGATTCCAGTCCAGTGCTTGCTTACAGATTTCGTTTCCGCTCCGTCGTAGTGTGTGCCCAACCCACCTCCACTTCCGTTCACGAATTTCTGTCTCTATCGGCTTCTGATGGCACAAACGATGAAGCTCGGAATTTGAGATCCAATTGTGGGGCCACCAGGCACGAATTATGTACCGCAGGCATCACTGGCGTATAACAGCACAGACTTCACGTTCGAGTTAAAAATTCGGAATTTGGTGCGTCGACTGATCTGATTCGCTCTCCATACATTTCGCAAACGGACAAAACCATGGTTCGGTACACGGTCAACGGCTCCTACCATGATCTCATTGATTACGATGAGGAACAGTAGCGGTGATAATATACATCCTTGCCTCACACCCGCGATTACCCGAATCGGGTCAGACAAAGCTCCGTTGTGCAACACTCTGCACGAGAAAGCCTCGTACTGCGCTTCGATGAGGTTGACGATCTTATCAGGAACTCCCTTGCGTCTCAGAGCGCCCCACAAGTTTTCCTGGTTTAGTCGGTCGAAAGCTTTTTCGTTGTCAATGAATACCAAGTACAGGGACTCTTGGAACTCATTGACCTGCTCCAGGATGATGCGGAGCGTGACAATATGGTCCACACAGGATCTTCCAGCACGGAATCCTGTCTGCTGTCGTCGGAGAGTTGCGTCGATCTTCTCCTGTATCCGATTGAGGATAACTTTACACAGAACTTTGAGAACAATACACAGTAACATGATGCCTCGCCATTTGTCGCATACAGTTGGGGACTTTTACCAAGACGCCCTGCATCCAGTCGGCCGGAAAAGTCGCGATGTCCCAATGTTGATGCAACATTTGTGAGGATAGCATGGGGTCAGCTTTGAGCATCTCTGCTGATATGCGATCGACCCCCGGGGTGTTGTTGGACTTCATACTTCGGATGGCTGCTTCTATCTCCTGCAACGATGGAGCTTCAGTGTTGACGCGAGTAACGCGCCTCACCCTTGGCGGATCATGCCGAGATGGTGATGGTTGGTTGACCGCTGAAACTTCGAGAAGTTGTTCAAAGTGCTCAAACCAACGATTCAACTGGTCAGTGGGGTCGGTGAGCAACAGTCCAGTCGCGTCTTTCACAGGCATCCTTGGGTTCATCCTTGCCCCGCTCAGGCGTCGTGAAACATCACAGAGGAGGCGGATATCACCAGTTGTTGCGGCTTTCTCTCCTTCATCCCCTTCATAGCTTGTCCCGTATACAGGAGCGCTTAACTTCCCTCTCTAGAGCCGAATACCGCAGACGCGCCTCGTTCTTGGCTCCTCGGGTCCTTGCTCGCTCTATCGCGGCCTTTGCTTCTCGATCTTCCTCCAGGTTTCATCTGTGATCCACTCCTTCCTCTGAGTGTGCAGATCCTCCGCTGAGAAAACTCCGTCGAAATTATTTGGAATCTCCGCTTGAAGCATCAGAAATCGCCACCGAAACCGTGTGGAACCTCGTCCGCCATGAACGCAAGAGAATGCCATCGAAATTTTGTTTTTTCGTATTTTTTTATTGATTATACTGTATGTAATTGTAATTGTTATTTATTTAATGAAACGTAATTCGTAAATTACGTAATTTAGTCAAACGATGAACAAGAAAAACTTTCCTAGAATCTGCGTTTGCAGCGTTCTAGAACCGTCTCCAAAAGAATTCATGCAGAACCTCCTCCACCGAGAACGAGAGAAAATCCCGTTGGCAGCATCCAAACTCTTCACTGGCCGAAGCTCCCCCGAAGACAATGCGTGGAAACACCGTCCACCGAAATCGTGTGGATAGACGATTTTTCTTTTAATGTTTTGTTTGTATATCTTGCTTTGTTTTGACGTTCACATCCCACTGAATGGTTGATGTAAACGATGGAAATTAAATGCATTGTTTTAAATTAAATACATCGTCAATAAGCATTTTAAAAGTGAGACGCACCTAGTTTCGGACCCTTGTTCTGAATCTGGCAACGATTATTCTCTCATTGATGAGCGCTGCCTGTGTTTGGGCGCTAAGCAGAACGCCAACTCCACGATGTCGCGGAGTGTTTTCACCTCGCATAACAGAATATAAAAGTACCTGTCCCGAAGGCAGCTTGTGTTCTCCAAAGTTCGGCCAGCGGACTTCAGGATTTCTAGCTTCATACGGTGGGCCTCACTGGCGAGTTGTGTCAGTTTACCCTGTTGGGCTAGCGTCAGTACATTCCATGTTCCAATTATTGTCCGTTGTTTAGCGCTAAAAGTCGTTGCCATAAAATCAGTTCGTAATCTTTCACCATAGGTTTCTGTAACAATTTGAAGGTTTCGGAGACAGTAGGTGGTTGACCTAAGGTCTCCTATCCGCCGTGATGGGACTGCCATCTTGGGTATAGCTTTCGGGGAGAAGCATTTTGTATTCAGCCGCTGGATGCCAGTCAGACGCTGTTTGAGCCGCCCTAACATGGAGAACAGACGCTCGGGTTTTGTAAGCCACATCCTCCGAAAAGGATGCAGCTCCCCTTCCCTGTCAGCAAACGACCAAAGTTCCCACCGGGGTTGGTTACCCGATCTTCCCTAAGGTTACTTGTACCCCAGCCGGCGCCGCGGAGAGGAAGGGATAGGAGTTACTGGGCAAGAGGCTAAGGACCACTTTCACTCGCGTGACGGGTCTATTTTATAACCTTCAATTACGCAAAGTACCGGTGGTACGCATTATCCCAGTAATTTGCCAGCCATATTCTATTGTAATTCACCTTATATCAGGGCTGATAGCGAAGGGGCCTCATAGCCTAGTCAGTAACGGCACGGTATTACCATAGAGGTAACTCTAAGACCACTGGGTCCCGAAGAAAATCATTATTATTTTTGGCTCACTCAGTACCAGAACAACGGTCCCAAGCAGTCCCAAGCTATTTCACTCACCCCTGCATGTTCTGCATGAATCTACACACCCCTGATGTTATCTGTCAAACTTTCATAGCGAATCAAAACAAACATAGTGTAGTAATAGAATTTCAACTAGAATAGGGTACGTTAATCGTTTGCTTGGGACCAATAGGCTACTAAAGTGGTGAGCCAATTTAAAATCGTTAGTTTCGTATTGATTGTTGGTATTACCAAGCCGGAGGCGGTGGGTTCGATTCCCGGTCCGGTCGAGGGAATCTTTCGGTTTGGAAATTTTCTCGACTTCCCTGGGCCATAGAGTATCATTGTGCTTGCCATGGGCATCGAAAGCTCTCAATTAATAACTGTGGAAGTGCATTTAGAACACTAAGTTGAGAGCACGCAATAAGCTAATATGCGCTAAGCAATAAGCTTGAAATACGAACAACAACAAGAAGAAGAAGAAGCAGAGCTGGTCACTTCAAGCCAGTCATTAAAAAGTCTCCTTTTTTAAGGCCAAGTCACTAAAGTCACTTTTTCTCGTAATCAGTCACTATTTCCAACTTTTTCAGCGTGAATTTATTTCAAGATTGATCATTCTTTGCTTTGTGACGTTTAATCGTCTTTCTCTACCTACAGGGTGTCTACTTATTTTTCTAAATAAAATTACCTAAGTTTGTCAGGTTTTTCCATACCCAGACAACCAGAAATCGTATAACAATGTACACACAGTATCGTAAATTGCTACAGTTTAAGTCAAAATCGCATATAAGAATGGCATACCTCGCATTATGTTTAAGTTAAATCGTATAGAATGCAAATTTCCGACTTATATGCGATGACTCATTTTTCCGTCGTACTGTATCACAAATTTAATCGGATTACATCGTAAGACTTTTCAAAATGGATTTGTTATTACAGATCAAATCGCATATGATGTTAAATCAACTCGTTTAAAATTAAACGAAAATATGCACGTATATGGCCTCCACTTTTGTACGTATAAGCCA